ATTGTCGCCTTTCCTTCAGGACAAGATCACCACACTTCTGCTCCACGCCTGCGGAGTAGTGCCACCATGGAGGACAGAATTAAAGAGTTTCTGAAGGACTTCAAGTACTGGTTTTCCACCCGCTTTCAGAAGCTCCGCTGTAATTCCATCCTCGCCCGGGGACTTGCCGTTTTCAAGGTGCTGGAGAGCCATTCTAATCTCGCTGAGATTAGAATTAGATTGACGTCCGGGATATCATCGGAATAGTGTCAGATAAGACTTGCTCTTGGATCGTTACTCACACTTGCGTATGGCTCCAACAATAATGTGTATAGCTGCTTATAGAACCTCTCAATCTCATTCAAAATCTCAGGTGTCCCAGAAACGATGCTGCCACATTCGGTCTTCAGCTTCGACAGTTGGCTCTTTCTAGGAGACAGATCTCTGGCAAAGACTTTAGAGCCCTGTTTCTTCAATATGAGTAGTATAAAAGTTGCGTAAGTCCCGCCGCACGTATTTGGAGATCTGCCTGTTCAATTGCCTGTATGCTGTCAAATCTACTGAAGACTGCACATTCATTTCCCGTCTAACAACCATAAGATTAAGAGTGTGATCGGAGATTTTTGTGTTCTTCTTCGGCGGGTCTTGCAAAACTTAGCTTAGTTTCCACGAGCTTGTCATTCATATCGTCCACTGCATTGCAATCTTCTAGGCACTGAAAACGGTTTAGTAACTCTAGCTGAAAGGTGTCGGGACTTTGAATTAGAGCACGAGGGGTCGGATCGTATCTTATTAGATGACACCTATCCCATTTAATATTTAGCTTCAGCATGCCTCTAACCATTCGTAAAAAATATAATAAATTGTTAAAACCCGAAAAAGTACTAGATGTTGAAAAATCATCGATGTTTCTAATCGCTGCATCGCATGCACAGTCTCGATGCATTACATCGAAAAAAAGTTCGATGTTTTTTTAAAGTGCACACCCCTACCGTAGGAGACGTCATTTTTTTATAACTGGCCTCGTGGTTCTGAGTTCTAGCCCTTCTGGCCTGAAGTTACAATGTAAAATTATCCTTCATAGTACACTGCTTCACAATATGTTGATGCGTCACTTTGTGCAGCCCTTGTGAGATATTGACGGCAACTTGAACCAGCAGACAGGTGACAGCGATGTTATCTCAAGGTACCTAAGCAGACAAACACCTTATTTTAAGAATCACATCACCATTAGAGCACTTGTTTCACAGTTTCCACTAATAGTTCACATGCGTAGACACTTAATACACAAAATCGCACCACTTTTACATATTAAAATCCACATCAAACCATTATATAAACAACAAGAGCGTCGACTTAATATTTGCATACTGATAAATGGGTAAAGCATACATGTTCGCACTATATTATAAGACCTCAAAATGTACCATATTTTATGCAAATAAATATTTTATTATTATTATTATTAAATAAGTAAGGTTTAAAAAGTAACAACGCGACTACCTAAAATCTGCTAGTTGCTATTTCGTCCGTAATTATTTTAAATTATGAACAACCACTTAGAAAGAGATATCGGGCCGGACTTATTGCGGGGGGAAACTTCTAGTTCAGGAGTCATTAATAGGTTCTTAACAATTAAAATATCGCATTATTTGTATGAAGGTCAAGTGAGCGCAAGAGAAACTACAATTACAATATGTTTTCCATAAATAAATTGTTTTGAGAAATTATCAATTACCGTGTAGTGGCGGTGTATGAATATCCATATCATCCCGTAGGTCTCGTAAGAGGCGACTAGACTTAGAGAAAAGAGTTATTTTAAATGACTCTGACCGTCGTTCCGGTTACCAAAAAGTCACAATGAAAAATCATCGTGACTTTATCACGTTGTTAAAGTTGGATAACTACTTCGAACATTAGAACGACTTATAACGTGACTTTATATAATATGCATTTTATACTCGTGACAATCTAAGACGCCCGATTTGACAGCTATAAAAATACTTTGCATAGTGATGGAAAAAAATTGATTGCTTTAAAAACCGATTCTCGAGACATATCGATTATTTAGAGTTTGTAATGGACAATATATCTACATCGTTTAAAATTGATTCTTAAGCCATGTCGTTTAATACATGTACGAGTTTGTAATATTTAACAGTTATTACATAAATTCAAACCAAGTTTAAATTTGGGCCAGTTTCAAAGCCAAGACGTAAACTAAAATCCGACACTCATTGTATTTATGTAGGCACGCCACTAATATGAGGCGGGTCGTTAGTCAAGTCAAAGTCAATAAAAACCCATAATTTTTTATTGTGAATACTTTTTCTAATTGTATTCACTTGGTTGAAGATTCCAGAAAATAAATAAACTTAAAAGAAAGCATACAAAAAAAGTTTTATTTTTATTTAGAACTAGCGGTTCCCCGCGACTACGCCTGCGTGTTAGAATTTTATCTATTTTGATCTAATTCTTTTTCTAAAATAAAGTAACCTAAGTTACTCCTTATAAAATCAGCTATCTACCAGTGAAAGTCCCGTCAAAATCGGTACAGCCGGAGATTAGCCGGAACTAACAGACAGACAGACAAACAAAATTTTTAAAAATAGTGTTTTAGTTAAAAGTACCGTATTTACTTTCATATACATTTAGTAAAAAACTGTAATTTTGACATTACATACAGACACTTCAATTTTATTTATTTATAAAGATGTGATACGAAATTCTGGGTGATTATTGAAGAACTTTTGAAACAGAAACAGAAATTTTTTTATTCAATATAGATTATAAATAATACTTATTGAAAGTCACTCAGGAATTGTTCGGATTAATCCCAGCCGCCAAACTTCACGAACGCACATCGCGGCAGAACTCCCGATACCATCCACACCATCTAGATGATTGGCGGTCCACCACTGTGCGATTTAGAAGATGTTTTCTTCCTCGCACAACTTCTTTGTGGAATAGTTTACCACCAGCGATTTTTCCGGACCGATACGACTTAGGGACCTTCAAGAAAAGAGCCTACTCCTTTTTAAAAGGCCGGCAACGCATCTGCAATTCCCCTGGTGTTGCGGTTGTTCATGGGCGGCGGTAGTCACTTACCATCAGGTGAGCCGCATGCTCGTTTGCTCGTTCTCCTATAAAATAAAAATAAATAAATAATACTCTTTTGTTTAATTACCACTGGTTCGAAAAAAAACCACTGTCCTGGGAATAACCAGCATGAAACCCAGCGGGACATTTTTTTAAATAACAGCTTACAATCATGTATGTTACACAAATTAACCACACAACAATTATTATCATCCATAAATTCTTTAATATTATAATTTAAACCCTTTTTATACAAACTTAGTTTAATAAAGTTTTTGAAATTTGAGCAGGTCAAATTTTGTATATTTTCTGGAATTTTGTTGTAAAAGCGTATACATCTCCCCAAGAATGAATTACTGACTCGATGGAGTCGAGTAACTGGTACTACTAGCTTGTCTGTTGCTAGTATTTACAGAATGAATATCACTTATTTTTGTAAAACTACTTTTTTCTGTAAACTAAGAATACCGTTAAATTCGTAATTTTTTTATACAATTTTTTGATACCCTTAACAAAATTCGGTGGCCAGATCCATTGGCCTTCTAAATCTTGAGTTTTCCATAGAAAGATATCGTTTTAGATTATGTAGCAATTCTTAAAATTTCTTGTGTTAAATGCAAATATCTAAAAATATCGTTCATCATCATCTAATAAGTCTTTAAGTAAAGTATATCCCCTTCATATTCTCCATACAATTGCCTTTTTAAATTAATATTATGAATCCAAAATCTTCTTTTTCTTCGAATTTTATTTTCTTTTTCCTCTGCCAATAAGCAGGCTATTACTATATTTCTTTTCGTAGTGATTTCGAACGATGAATTTCACTGTACCGTTTCACACCAGTGGTTGGCAAAAACTACAAAAGTTGTTGGTAGTACAAAAGATTTGCGAACGGCGCAGACGATGCGTACGGGCAAATGTGCGAGGCCATCAGTAAAACTCGGCCCGTACGATGCGTACGGTGCGGACAAATGTGCGTTCAGCTTTAGAGGTCTCTTCTAATTCCCTGGTATATAGTGTATTATCTATGCTCTACTCTATGGGTGGATTGTTGAGAGTTTTGGCGGGAACTTGACCGGTGACAGATTGCTGCTACTGTGTTATTGTTTAAATAATGGTTTGAAGTGGATTTTGATATGTAAAAGTGGTGCGATTTTGTGTATTAAGTGTCTACGCATGTGAACCATTAGTGGAAACGATGAAACAAGTGCTCTGATAGTCAGGCGTGTCACTTTGTAAAAATCTGAGGTATGGAAAATGGTGGCGCGATTTTCAAATTTGTTCGCATTACTCGTGGGGTATTAAGCTTTAAGAGTTTGCAGTGTATATACTCAACTTATTTATTGAACTATAAGATGTGGGGTATTGAGGTTTAAGGGCTTGCGATTTATTTATATGGGGTTTGTAGTAATATGCGATTTATTTCCTAATTTCAGCTATGGAATTCCATACCTTGAAAAACTTGAGGTATGGAGTGCTCCATACCTTCCATAGTGGAAGTGACACCCCTGCTGATAGTGATGTGATTCTCAAGATAAGGTGTCTGTTTGCATAGGCGCCTTGAGATACCATCGCTAACCTAACTGTCAGCTGCATAGATTACTGTATATATTATACTAGAGAGTCAGCTGTCTGCTGGCTTAAGTTGCCGTCAAAATCTCCCAAGGGCTGCACAATGTGACGCATCAACATATTGTGAAGCAGTGTACTATGAAGGATAATTATTAATTATACATTGTAACTTCAGGCTCAGAAAGGCTAGAACCCAGAGCCGTAAAGCCAGTTATTAAGAAAGAAGTAGTGGATTGTGGATATATAAATAAACATATATCTGAAGTTGATTTTAGACTTTTTTCATTTATTCGGAATTGATTCAGAAATTCAGAAGATAAATAAACTTACCGTATGCAAGTGTTACTAAAATGTTTCTAAACAAAGCTAAAAAGTTTATCAAAAGAACTCCATTCCTAAGGTAATTCTCAACCGTTAACCTCGCATTATCAGATGTTTTGTTAATAAGGCTTCTAGATCGCTTTGGTAGTAAAAGGCTGGATTTGCGTTCGTCTAAAATTTCATATTCCCAATTCTATCCCCACCGATAAATGATATAATTTATAAACAAGGGGTAAAAGTTAGTAATATATAAGTCAATCGGTAAAAATCATTGCTTTTGGCACCGCTAAAATTGTAAATCGCAACTATAGAGAAATTTAAAATATTTTCGTTAAATCCGTTACCGTTATAGCCTATTAAAGTCTACTGCTGAACATAGGCCTCCCCCATAGATTGCACCATAGGCGGGATATCAGCCATAATTATAGCAGATATCCAGTGCAATCTATGTCCTCTTGTATATCCTTTTGTCACGCTTGACAAGAGGGTTGCAACCTCAGTTTTTATTTTTATTTATTTTTGGGAAGATGTTGCTGCCCATCTCCTGATTTGTTTCCCTCTGTTGCCTCTTACAACACCTGGGGATGATATGGGGTGGTGGATATTCTTACACTGCCACTACACGGCAAATATGAGAATTAAAAAAAATTCATGTGAAGTCCATCGAATATCCATTTAATTTAACCGACTTCAAAAAGAAGGAGGTACTCAATTAAACTGTATGTTTTTTTAAGATATACTTTTTTCTTTTCCTTTTTTTTAATAAAAACGTTACCCCCACACTAGGATTTTCTCCTGTATTGAAGAGGCAGTTTACAAACACAAATTGCACAAGGACTAACATCCAGACCTGGAACAATTATTTGTAGGTCATACAAATACTTGCTCCGTGTGGGATTCGAACTCGCGGCCCTCAGCGCAGTAACTCATTGCTAAGCCACTGCGCCACGGAGCCTCATAACTTTTTTTAGTTGAACCGATTTTGAAGATCCTTTTTTTCTTTTATTTAAAAGCTGGTGCTTCATATGTGGTATATAAATAGCTATATAAATTTGATCAGGGTCTGACCAGTAGTTTTGAGTTATCCTTAATAATTGAAGTTGGTTGTACAAAATGTTTAATCTTACCACTTGTTCCATTACACTCTATTAACTTATATAAGGAGACCTAACCAACTAGTAAGGCAATTGTGGACATTACCAAAAATTTTGTTTTTGTTTCCAGTTCCGTGAGATGCAAAGCTGCTTATGAAGGCGATGGAAAGACTACGGTCCGAGTAATTAACCAAGAACAAGATTCTGGACTTATGATTAACTCTTATGCAGTAGTGAGTAATTTTCTTAACATATTGTGATTTACCTATTTATCTCTACATAATATAAAACAAAGTGCCTCAGATCTTTTAAACTACACAACAGATTTTGATGCAGTTTTCATCAATGGTCAGAATGATTCAAAAGGAATGTTTATATGTATAATATACATGCATATTATATGTTATATAATTCTTCTGTCTGTGTGTATGTGCCTGAACTCCTCCGATTAATATGAAATTTTGTGTGTGTGATTAAGTTGATTGATTCGTGAATGCTTTAGACTCAAATTTGGACCCGTTAGGTGGCGTTGTTGTAGACATCCTGAAATCAACCGTGCGAAGCCAGGGCACATCGCTAGTTTAACATAGAAACAAAGCCCAATGGATGAATAAGCTGAAGTAGCAATAGGTCAGCCATGTAGCTTGAAGAACTTATAACCGGAGGGGGAGAAAAGTCCTTAAGTGGCAGTCTTGTACCATTAAGAAGTGTTGGGAGAGCTCTTACAAGATAAGAGTGACAACCTGGTAAGAGATGCAGAAGTTGATGCCTGCAGGTGGCTGAGATCTGTGCTTTGTGGTTTTCCTTGTGGAAGGTCTATATTCAGTAGTGGACATAAGTGTATAGTGGAAATAAGTTTACATACATACATATAATCACGCCTCTTTCCCGTAGGGGTAGGGAGAGACCACTTCTTTCCACTTGCTACGATCCTTACATACTTGTTTCGCTTCGTCCACTTTCATTATTCCCTTCATACATGCTCTTCGGTTTAGGGTACTCTTGACCAGACCTTTTTTCAAGACAGAAATAAGTTTAACCTATTTAATAAAAAAAATAATTAAATCGGTTTACAGTTTATGAAGATATTGTGTAACATACATAGGTACATTAAAAAAAGAAAAAAAGGTCATCCAGTGAAATAGAAAACCTCTTCTTTTGAAGTTGGCTAAAAGTATGTTAGGAAATAAAAGGGGATTTTTTCTTATTCATTATATATTGAAAAAAAATGAAAAATGTTTTATTAGCAATAAGAAAAATAATACAATGGGTAATATCTGTTGGTTTCCTCACTAGGCAAGCCTGTATCGAGGAAACCTGAGACCATAGTTCATTAAGCGCTATTTTATACACCTCATCAGACAGATTGTTTTACACAAAACAACAATAACAGAATTGCTTATTGCTTTAAATATTTGAACATAAAAAGAAAGAAAACTATAAAAACAAAGGTAAGCTATATAAAACTGAAATGTATTAACTATGTGCATTTAAAAAAAAAATTAAATAAAAAATTAGAACAATAACAAAATTTATCTAATAATTTTACAAATACCATCAATTAGCAAAAGCCAGTTTTTAACAATTCTTCTGTTTCCTCATATGATAGGGTGACCAACCATTTCAATAAAATTAATTTGGCAGATATGTAGTTTTTATTACTAATATTACAATGTTTTACGACCTTATTATAAATTTGTCTTTTGATAAAGTCGCCAAAACGTTGTGCAAATTTAGTATTGACAGATGGTATAGATAGTTTGTATACCCTGCGATTAGTCAGTAGTTTGTGATCATGGGAAGATAATACACCTTTATGTACTGCTAAGGACGTATTTAGTACAAAAAGTTGGCGTACAGTGAGTACTTCGGCATCTTTGTATACGCTTACAGTAGGGTATCTGTATGGTTTTCCTAACATTGCCTTTTAAACTGCCCGCTGTGCTCTCTCGATCTGTATTAAATATATTTTGGACGCACTACCCCAACATGTGATGCAGTAAGTTATCAGCGATTGACAAAGAGCATAATATCCTGATTTCAGTATTATCTTATTCGCTATATAATGTAGCTTTCTCATTATATAGATAATCCTTCTGATTCGGTTTGAAAGAACTTCGATGTGCGATTTAAATCCCAGATTTTCATCAACAAGCACACCAAGATATTTTAAAACCTTAACCCGCATAAGTGACTCACACGAACAGCGCGGATTCATGTCGCACGACTCTTCATGAATTTTTATGTTCAAATCAAATTTCGGGCAAGAGGCAGTTGTTTTATGAAAACATACGTACATTGTCTTTTTTGAGTTCAATGTTAGTAGATTATTTCGTAACCACTGGGAAATTTGTAACATACCTCGCTCAGCGATGGAACTAACAAATTTCCATGAGGACCCGCGAAAAATGACCGCGGTGTCATCGGCGTAGCATAAAATATCGGCATTTTCAAGAATTATATCATGAATGTCATTTATATATAAAATGAATAATGTAGGTGCCAAGATGCTACCCTGTGGGACTCCAAAACTGACATGTTGTAAGCTACTAATAAATTGACCAATTTTTACACACTGTTTTCGATCTGTTAAATAACTTTTAAACCAATCCAAGGCCACCCCTCGAATACCTATCTTTTCTAGTTTTTTTAAGAGAATAGAAACAGATACAGTATCGAACGCCTTGGATAGATCCAAAAATATCCCAATACAGGATTTTTTGCTATCAAGATGCGCAGATAGAGTGGTCGTTAGTAGGTTTACAGCGTCTTCCGTGTTTTTACCCTTACGAAAACCAAATTGTTTTGGGGAGATATAGCTGTGTTTCTCAAGATAATCAACAAGGCGTTTATTTACTAGTTTCTCAAGTAATTTTGTAAAATACAACTAAAAGCGAGATGGGTCTATAATTGTTGACAGAATTTTTAGGTCCCTTTTTATAAATCGGACAAACCGAAGCGGTTTTCCAACTATCTGGGAAAATACCGCATGAGAGACTGAGGTTAAAAATATACGCAAGTGGAGTCATAATTTCGTGTTTAATAAATTTTACAAGCGCGTTACTAACTCCGTCTATGCCCGGTGCCTTATTGTCTTGCAACTCTGAGATAAGTTTTCCAATTTCTACATGATTCGTGGGATACATGAAAAACGAATTCATTGGTGAATTTGGAATTCGAACGGACCTCGCCAAATCAGCCTCATTTTGCTTCATACTAGAGAGAATATTTTCTGCCAGCTTTTTACCAGCTGTAGAAAAATAATTATTTGTGAAATCGATTGATTCTTGCACACTTAGACCATCTAATCTTAACAATTCCTTAGGTTTATTTTTGGAATGTTGAAGATGACAGATATTTTTGATTGACTCCCACATCTTTTTCGGGTTATTTTTATTTTTTGTAAGTATTTTATTTTCATATTCAGATTTTACCTTTCGTAATAAATGTATGAAGAAATTTTGGTAACGGGTGTATATTTTTTTAAGGTTTTTATTTTCCGGATCGTTACGAGATTGAAGATGCAAACGATCACGGACGCGCATACAACGAATTAAACCAGGTGTTATCCAAGGTTTTATGTTAAACTTAGCTCTACTAATTTTAACTTCTTTGGTGTGCTTGTTTACGACATCTGTGATGTATTTTGTAAATATTTCATTAGCTATATTAACGTGGGGTATATTGCTTAAAATGGACCAATCGATGCTTTTAAGGTTTTCTTTTATCGCATTAAAATCTCTCTTAATTATAAAGCGATTGGGTCTTTGAGGCTTAGGTTTTTTAGAGTTCAAACCAAGCATAACTGGGAAATGGTCTGTAATGTCACATTGGCACACAATGCTATGTAGTGCTTGGCACCTGTCCATGTTTCTAACATAGATGTGATCAAGGCAAGCGGACTCCCTAGTTGGGTGTACTATAGCTGGAAAGAATCCATGTTCGGCCATAAAGCACTGGTACTCTAAGCTTTGTGGAGTACTAATAGTTTCCATTATATTTATGTTTATGTCACCGGCAAGGATGTAGGGGAGACCATCTATTTTATTAATGTGTATTTCAAGAGATGCTAGAAATTTTTCCAGATTTTTAAAAGATGGTGAACGATAAATTCCAAGAATATGTAACTTTTCAGGTATTTGAACAAATAGGCTTGATCGAGACGTAGTTCTGAAACCGAGGCATTCCATATGTCTCTCAGGTATATGACAACTCCGCTGTTTTGATTTAAGTACCTATGCGTTTTAAAAGCATTATATCCAGGTATTTGCGGTATAACTATACTATCAAAGAGCCAACATTCGGTCAAAATTATAATATCCACGAATATTTCCAAACGTTGGAGGGCTACTATTAAAGAGTCAAAGTTTTTTCTTATGCTTCTAATATTAAGACAAAATAGCTTAAATGTAAATTCCGGAGTAATGATATGTTTACAATCACATATATCTTTTACAGTTTCACACTTAACCTGCATTAAGTCTAATTCCAGGCCTAAATTTTCAGTCACAATCATTTTCGTAGTCGAATTTTATCCGGTAACCAGAATGAGTTGGTTAATTTGAGACAAGACATTTTTGGACGGAATGAACCACGTTTCTTTACTTTGGGGAACAAACTGGACTGGCAAAAAGTGAAATTTAAAATGGTTTTAAAATAACAAAAGGGCTTACAGTTATACATACATACGTCTTTAGCATCAGTAAAGTCATGTAAGGTAGCTTGCATTAAGTAAACTTTATCAATAATTGGTCTTTCATAATTTTGTACATCGTTATGTATCCTAGGCTGTAGAAGATGGTGGAAGCAGACGATCAAGGTCCTTGTGCGATTGTATGAGCTGAGCAGATTTACCTTCACGTTGCCTGACATAAATAAAGCCTTGATTACACCAGCAGAATGTGTATCCATGTTGCTTAGACCTGTGTCTAGTGTCACGAAATAACACTCTGTTTTCTTTGGTAAGTCTTTCATTAAAATAAACTTTCCGGGTTTGGCCTGATACCTCCAGGTCGGAACTGTTTATGTTTCTTCTTAATTTTGCAGCTTTGAGGATTTGATCTCGTTTAGATCGACGCAGAAATTTAACGACCACTGGCCTTGGCATACTGCCGCTATCCTCTGGTAAAGCAACGGTTTTTGGTGGTCGGCGTGGGCCCACACGAATTACCCAATCTAAATCCTTATCTTCTAAGTCAACTCCCAGTTTCACTGCTGCTACGAGTATGGTGTGATTCAGATTTTCACCCAAGATTTCAGGAATGCCTACAATTTCTACTTCATTTCTCATATTTAGTTGGGCTTGTAATTTTAGTTCATTTTGCAGTTGTGACACCGTAACCTGCAAGTTTTGGACGTCTTCATCACGTTTTTCTAAATATTTTATTCTCTCGTTTGTATGAGAAATTGATTGGGTAAGATCATTTAATTTTGTTTTCACAGAGCATAATTCACTGGTAAGGAGGCGCAGCTGTTCAGTAAGCTGGGTCATTTCAGACCCTACAGAATCCGGCTTTTTACGTGTGGTAACATTTTCAGAACCACCTCGAACAGGAGTGAGACTGTTATCCCCACCTTTTTTTTTTCGCGGCACAGCATTCTGGACATTTCCAAATCTTCCGCTCAGGAGTGAGCAATGTAACATTTATACATACTGAGCAAAAGGTTTTTTCACATGCAGTAGACGTACATTTAGTAGTACCGGCACCGTCTCTAATAGGCTTCAAACAACCTGCACACTTCATTACGCTGCTTTATTTATTAACAGACCCGGAAATATATACAAATTTGTGGTGTTAGTAGCGCATTTGTCAGCACTAGTATGATAAAGAAAATGCACACGACTTTCACGGTTAAGTGTAGCGCGTAACCGTGAGGATGCTACGTACCGAGTCGTTTACTTTTTACCCTCGCTCTTAATACTGTTGATATCTGTTGCGAAACTGTGCAAATTTTACTTTAACTTCAAAATAAATCACAACAAAATCTTAAAGAAATACGTTGTCAGACTATATTATATGTAAATCACAAAATATTTCCAAAAAGAAACACTTAAATTAGGTATTCGTAAATTGAATTCAGAGCGCACAAACACACAGTTAACTGCCTGAGAGAAGCGGAACGAATCATAATAATATTGCATTCTATGTTTACTTTACCACTGATTTGGCAAAATAACTGCCATGAAAAGAACCATTAAGCAACCCAGCACAATAGTTTTTAAATCTTTTTTGGTATTCATAAATAAGTTTGAATAAAAAAGATTTTTTGTTGCAGTATGGGTTTAGGCTAAACAATGGAGTCACAGTTTTGGGTCCCATGGCCATATTTCCCAGGTAAATTAATTGTAATTCATATTATCTTTTTTTTAAATTAACTGTTAAATTAACTACTATGTCAATAAAGCTAACCTTATTTAATGACATTGTTATAAAACTTAAGTAGTGATACTTGATCATATAAACCTTTAGTGGTAGCAGTGGTGTAACAATAGGGTCGCAGGACGGGCAAAATGCCACAGGCCCCCAGCCGGAAGGGGCCCCCCGCCTGAGAAGGCTGTGAGCACTACGCTCAATAACCTCAATAGTGTCTTCCAACAGATAGATCTTAAAATAACCATTGACAAAACATCTATGCCAGTAGTTCTTGGGAGCATTAAGCTCAAAGTTGTTGACGAATATATGACTGAGACAAAGAGTCCAACTAGCTAAGTCCAAATTTAACCAATGTGTATTGCCAATGATGACTTATGGATCTGAGACATCGTCGTTCACTGCTGGCCCTACATAAGGAAGCTGGAGGTTGCTCAGCGAGCTATGGAAAGGGTTATGCTCGGGGTTTCTCTGCGTGATAAACTTAGAAATGAGAATATTCGTAGTAGAACCAGATTAACCAACATAGCCCAATGAATGCTGAAGTGGCAATCAACTGGCCATAAGCCCAAAGAACCGACAACCGATGGGGAAAAAAGGTTCTCAAGTGGCAGTCTCGTACCGGTAGGCGAAGTGTAGGGCGACCCCCCGCTAGATGGAGTGATGGCCTGGTAAGACTTGCAGGAAGTTGATGGATGTAAGTGACTGTGCTTTGTGGCATTCCTTGGGGGAGGCCTATGTTCAGCAGTGAACTTGTGAAGGGCTGTAATGATGATAATGCTGATGATTGTTGGCAGTAAAGGTTAAAGTGATTTCAATTTGGCTGTAATCATGATGATGATGAAGAATCAAAATGCGGATGCGTTGACACCTTAAGGACAAAGATGGAATGCCTCATTTTCAGTATTATGGTTCTCCGATTCTCTACACTCACCTCTACACTCACATAGAGTAATTACTATCTTATTAAGATAGTAATTACTCTCATCACACATTTTAAAGTCACCAATCAATATTTTGGCAATTCTAACTACTAAAGCTACTTATGTTCATTGTTCCATTCGTGTTAGAAACAAATTAAAAGTCATAGTACATATATATCAATGAAGGTCAATAAATAATGAAAACGTCGGGAATTAAAAAGTTAAGTTAAACGCGATAAAGAAAATCCGTAAAATTTAGTTTCATTTTATGTGTAGTCTTCGCGTATAAGAAATCATTATGTAAGACCATGTCAAACCCTAGTGTCACATTAATAATTATACTTTTATGGTATTTTTATTCTTCTGTGGTCTATACTTTCTTAATAAATTATGTTTACAAACAATAGAGAAATGTTTGTTATATACTTTACACCTAGAAACCCTTTCAGTTGAGTTAGGTTAGAAGGCTGTGGCAGGAGCGAAGCGCAGCGCAGCTGGCGCTCACAGCCTTCGTGGTTATTGTTTTTTACCGCCCAAAAATATTTGAGCATGCAGAAACCCTTTCAGTTGAGTTAGGTCAGAAGGCTGTTGCGGAAGCACAGCGCAGCTGGCGCTCACAGCCTTCTTGGTTATTGTCTTTTACCGCCCAAAAATATTTGAGCATGCAGAAACCCTTTCAGTTGAGTTAGGTCAGAAGGCTGTTGCGGAAGCACAGCGCAGCTGGCGCTCACAGCCTTCTTGGTTATTGTCTTTTACCGCCCAAAAATATTTGAGCATGCAGAAACCCTTTCAGTTGAGTTAGGTTAGAAGGCTGTTGCGGAAGCACAGCGCAGCTGGCGCTCACAGCCTTCTCGGATATTGTCTTTTACCGCCCAAAAATATTTGAGCATGCAGAAATCCTTTCAGTTGAGTTAGGTTAGAAGGCTGTTGCGGAAGCACAGCGCAGCTGGCGCTCACAGCCTTCTTGGTTATTGTCTTTTACCGCCCAAAAATATTTTAGCATGCAGAAATCCTTTCAGCTGAGTTAGGTTAGAAGGCTGTTGCGGAAGCACAGCGCAGCTGGCGCTCACAGCCTTCTTGGTTATTGTCTTTTACCGCCCAAAAATATTTGAGCATGCAGAAACCCTTTCAGTTGAGTTAGGTCAGAAGGCTGTTGCGGAAGCACAGCGCAGCTGGCGCTCACAGCCTTCTTGGTTATTGTCTTTTACCGCCCAAAAATATTTGAGCATGCAGAAACCCTTTCAGTTGAGTTAGGTTAGAAGGCTGTTGCGGAAGCACAGCGCAGCTGGCGCTCACAGCCTTTTCGGATATTGTCTTTTACCGCCCAAAAATATTTGAGCATGCAGAAATCCTTTCAGTTGAGTTAGGTTAGAAGGCTGTTGCGGAAGCACAGCGCAGCTGGCGCTCACAGCCTTCTTGGTTATTGTCTTTTACCGCCCAAAAATATTTTAGCATGCAGAAATCCTTTCAGCTGAGTTAGGTTAGAAGGCTGTTGCGGAAGCACAGCGCAGCTGGCGCTCACAGCCTTTTCGGATATTGTCTTTTACCGCCCAAAAATATTTGAGCATGCAGAAATCCTTTCAGTTGAGTTAGGTTAGAAGGCTGTTGCGGAAGCACAGCGCAGCTGGCGCTCACAGCCTTCTTGGTTATTGTCTTTTACCGCCCAAAAATATTTTAGCATGCAGAAATCCTTTCAGCTGAGTTAGGTTAGAAGGCTGTTGCGGAAGCACAGCGCAGCTGGCGCTCACAGCCTTTTTGGTTATTGTCTTTTACCGCCCAAAAATATTTGAGCATGCAGAAACCCTTTCAGTTGAGTTAGGTCAGAAGGCTGGTGCGGAAGCACAGCGCAGCTGGCGCTCACAGCCTTTGTGGTTATTTTTTTACCGCCCAATAATGCTTCAGCACCCATAAATCCTTTCAATTGAGTTAGGTTAGAAGGCTGTGCTTCGCTCCCGCCCACAGCCTTCGTGGTAATTTTTTTAACGCTCATAAATACTTAAACACCCAGAAATCCTTTCAGTTGAGTTAGGTTAAAGGCTGTGGCGGGAGCGAAGCACAGCGCAGCTGGCGTTTACAGCCTCCGTGGTTATTTTTTAAATGCTCATAAATACTTAGGCACTCAAAAATCCTTTCAGGTGAGTTAGGTTAGAAGGCTGTGCTTCGCTCCCGCCCATAAACTTCGTGCTTATTTTTTTTATCCCACTCCTTTTTATAGGATTGGGTGACAAACGAGCACACAGTTCAACTGATGGTAAGTGGTTGCTGTGACTCATATGTGCTATGACTTTTTTTTTATAGGAGAGGGGGCAAACAAGCATGCGGCTCACCTGATGGTAAGTGACTACCGCCGCCCATGAACAACTGCAACACCAGGGAGGGAATTGTAGATGCGTTGCCGGCCTTTTAAAAAGGAGTACGCTCTTTTCTTGAAGGTCCCTAAGTCGTATCGGTCCGGAAAAATCGCTGATGGTAATCGATTCCACAAGGAAGTCGTGCGAGGAAGAAAATGTCTTCTAAATCGCACAGTGGACCGCCAATCATCCAGATGGTGTGGATGGTATCGGGAGTTCTGCCGCGATGTGCGTTCGTGAAATTTGGCGGCTGGGATTAATCCGAACAATTCCTCAGAGCACTCCCCATGGTAGATGCGAAAGAAAATGCAAAGGGATGCAACATCTCTTCGCAGTGCCAATGAATCGAGCCGATCGGAAAGGACTCGGTCGTCGACGATTCGAGCCGCTCTGCGCTGGATACGGTCAAGTGGAAGGAGCTGGCACTAGGGAACCCCTGCCCAGAGATGGGAACAGTATTCCATGTGAGGCCGAACCTGCGCCTTGTAAAGTTGCAGGCGGTGTGCCGGCATTTGGCCTTCTCTTCCAAGTGACCACGAAACTGCACGTCACTCGATATGTCGGCTCCGAGGATACCGATACTGGCTGAGGCAAGAAGGGGAGTGCCTTGAAACTGAGGAGATACGACAAAGGGGTTTTTTTTAGCGGTAAACGCGCAAACTTGTGTCTTCTGACTATACATTTATGAAGCTGGCTTGTTTGTTTTTAAAAATAAGTCATTATTTGTTAAGCAAGTGATATATATCCTCGAAACCGACGTGACCCAGACAAACTTGTCCTAGATGTTATTCCTAGGTCTATTAAATAAATTGGTTAAAAATTGAATGCTATTATGACTTTAAAGATTTTTTGATTTAAATAATTATTAATGTTGTCTAAACATTTCAAAATTATAATTTGCATGCTATTATTAGCGAAACACGACTGCACTATATAAATTGTAACATGTTTTTATACCGTGATTCTGGCAAATAAAGATTTATAATTTAGAATTTCTGGGATCGCAGTAACACATGTTTCACAATTCTGACACAAATTGATACCCTTGCCTACCTGGGTATTTTACATCTCATATTATGCAAAATAGTCTCATCATTGTCATAGATGCCATAAGAGTTGTCTTTTTTGGCAACTATATTTTAAACATTCTTGTATGTATTATAGTTTCAGTATGATGTAAATGTAGTACAACAGAACACAACATTTCATCCGGTGTTAGGCATGCAGGCCACTGGTACAGTTCTTTATTTTAACAAAAAATAATGTACTATGTAATGGAATATATAATATATGTGGACATAATGTACTTATCACCTAGAGTAGTGTTATATATAATGTATTTCATTAGAGCCTATAAAAGTCCACTCCTGAACATAACCCTCTCTCATAAATTGCCTATAGGGGGACTTTGTCATAGTTGCCATGTTTAGCTGATGGGTCAACAACTGCAGTCTTTTATAATTTTGAGTTATTAGGAAGATGCTGCTTTCCATCTCCTGTTTCAGTTTCCCTCTGTAGCCTCTTCGTCACCCACGAAATAATGTGAGGTAGAGAATATTCCTGCACTGCTACTACATGGTTAACTAAATGAGAAAAATGTGTAAAAACTATGTTTTGTTTTGTTATAACATTCTAGGACAGTGTTATCGTGGCAAGTGCGAGGCTCGTATGAGGTGTCAGAAGATTCTCTGCGTTTATTTAAGCTGCTAGAACCAAAGATTGATTTGCTGGTTAGTGTCAAATGTCATCATATTAATACTGCTTTACCCCCCTGCGGCGGGGCTAGAAGGAGGCTAACATTTTCGCTGGTATATATGCGAGTCCCCATTTTTATGTTCGCCCGTAATTTCATAACTAATCGCGTGATTTCGCTATGATGAAGTCTGTCAAATATAATACCTCACCTTTAAGTGGCTCCGTTCTTCTGGCAGAAAAAGTCGTGGATAAAAAACAAATTCCAAACCTGATCTGTCGAAAATTTAAACCCAAACAACAGTAATTAGCAAAAGTATATATTATTTTATTTATTTATTTGAACTTTATGCACAAAATAGTACATATGGCAGAATTAATTTCTGAAGGCATTCTCTCCCAGTCAACCATATTCTTTTTCACTCTTCTTCATCAGCCTGTAAAAGTCCTTTGCCGGGACATGGGTCACTACAGTTGTAGGGAGAATTTGCTTTAATCCTCATTCTTGGCAGACAGATTGACGTAAACAAATTAACGTGCTTCAGCTGTAATATGGTTACGACACAAAGGGTCAGGCTCGACCGGGGTAGAATCAGGCTATCACAGAATAGCAGCATAAAATAGCAACATAATGCTTCTGTGCTTCCCATAGAGAGTTAAGTTGACGGGGAAAATTGTATGTAGCATATTAATAATTAAATAGAATTAAGTGAAGTTTGATAATTGGAGCAATGGGTCAGGTGGTGGGTCTGGAGACGAGCGAGCGGCGCGCGGTGAACCTGGTGTTCCGCGCGGCGCGCGCGGCCCAGCTGAACGTGGAGCTGCTGCCCACCGAGCACGCCTGCTCCACCTTCAACTTCCTCAGCGCGGAGGGCAGGTGTGTGTTCAGTGCACTACAGCTGCATTATTCTATATCAACAAACAAATAACAGTATTGTTTTTCATCAGGAGCGTGGCTGGCGCACTGATCCCACCACTACACGTGACCGTGAACGTGGACGACATGCTGGAGTCGCAGCTCCACTACCGCAACCTCTACCGTCACGACCTAAACTGACCGTCCACTGATCACCACACGCCGCTCCACGACGTTGGCCTCTTTCCAGTTTTTGGACCACCAGATATTCATTCTACTTTAATATCGTAGGAAATGATCAGAAACTAAGTCCACCAATAGAGACCAACATTTTTCGCCATTGTATTGACCAGGGAACTTCAGTCCATCTGCTAGTGAGTCGTTTATATAGGTAGTGGACCTGCACCTGCTTGGTTGCACCTGCAATCAAGTTCATGCTTGTGAGGACCAAGAAGAAATGCGCCATATACCTTCAGAGCGGTAGACAGCAGTGCACGCACTACACACGCACACACTTCTGCCGCAAACACACAAGTCTCTAGGCAGAAAAGAAGTCCTACCGCCTAGTTATATCATTTCCAGTTTAAAATTATAAGAAAAGTCAGATATATAAATACAGAACATTTAAAAATGTTTGCTGCTAGTAAAAATGTTTTCATATAAACAATGGTTTAACAATAGTTAATAATTATTTATACAACAATATGTAATTGTAAATATTAGAATAGTTGTTTGTTTTGTAAATAAATAAATGTTTCAATACCTTGTTTTCTTATTTTGAAGCCTTATCGTATTTTCCGATAATATGAAAAGCATGATACTGCAAAAGATTCTTCATCGGCTACGTTTTTATTTAGTACCTTTCATCATTATAATCATTATAGCCCATCTATAACTCACTGCGGAACAAAGGCCTCCCCCAAATGTTTGCCATAGCATATCACGCTTGGCAGAGGGGTTGGCAATCGCCTTTTTTTTATTATTTCGATCAATGCTGCTGCCTATCTCCTGTTGTAAAAATGAATTAGTATTTATTTATTTATCTACACTATTTGTGCGACCTACATAAAAAATATCAGTTTAATATTGACTCCCATAATTTTTTTTAATTTTCAATTACTTAATATTTTGGCTTACACAACAAAATATTCAATGAATACAGTTTCGGATATACGCACATTATTAATCTTTGAAAATTGTGTTCCTTTATAATCTATACAAATAAATAAAATTGGAGTGTCTGTTTATGTATGAAAGTAAATACGGTACTTATAACAATAACATAATGTTTAAAATTTTTGTCTGTCTGTCTGTTTGTTTCGGCTAATCTCCGGAACGGCTGGACCTTTTTGATGGGACTTTCACTGGCAGATAGCTGGTTTTATAAGGAGTAACTTAGGATACTTTAATCCGAGATCAGTTAAAAAATTAACAAATGTTATGAATTATAATGCCGCAGTTTCCTACAGACTTTTATATATACAACTAGAGATGAGACATACTTGCAAAATTCAATACCAGGGCTTCAAAGTACGAGTAGGGAAAAATACCGGGGTCGAAAACCAGGTTTTAAAAATACTTGAAAGTATTTGTTAGTGTCAATATATATATGAATGATTAATTTCATTCGGGCAAAAATTTAGACTGAACATTTTTAGTAGTAAGGAAAGATTTCATTTCGTTTTGTTAACGAAATGAAATCTTTCCTTACTACTTTTTGGCTTAGGACTACTAATTAATAAAAGTTTTAAAACTGTCTCTAAATTCAATATACACGCTAAATAACTATTTAAAAATTAGGTCACGGTCAGTAAGTTACGTAATCAGTTCACAATAACAATTGAATTTACAAAAAATCGAAACAAAACTTTTACTTCCTCGAATATAAATTATAAACATAATTCTTATTACTTACTACTTACGCGACGTGTCCAGCTGCGGTGTCAAAATTTGAAAATACTTGCATAGGAACTCGACCCGTTTTCCATGTAAGGCTACTATGAATAAGGAGCAAAGTCGTATAAATAAAAACAATACTTTAAAATTCAAAGTATTTTTCATTCACAAATACGATTGAGTTTCTTATTACTATTGAGATATGGATCATTTTCCTATGCAAGTATTTTCATACTTGCAAGTATTTTTTGGTCGTAAACTGCGCCGTACTTTAAAGTTAAAACCTGGTAGCGTAAATACGTCTCATTGCGACGCGAGCGACGTGTCCAGCCGTGGTGTCAAAATTTGAAAATACTTGCATAGGAATTTCAACCGTATTCCATGGTATGGATAGGGATAAGGAGCAAAGTCGTATATATAAATAAATACTTTGAAGTTCAAAGTATTTTTCGTTCACAAATACGATTGAGTTTCATATTACTGTGAAAATATGAATAATTTTCCTATGCAAGTATTTTCATACTTGCAAGTATTTTTTGCTCGTACCAGGGCGCCGTACTTTGAAGTGAATACCTGGTTTTAAAACCTGGTAGCGTAAATACGTCTCATCTTTATATACAACTACATGAACAATTCGGAATTAAAACTGTGTCACTGCTCTAATTCGCGAGGGCGGGGGCGGTTAGCTTGCATAGTAAATAACCAATTTTTGGACAGGACGTTTACTATCCAAGCAGTTCGTCTATGGAATGCCCTACCTGTCAGCGAGACGCGCCTATATCTGTTTTTCAAAGGCTTGTACACAATCACTATTTTAATCTTTGAGTTTGTGCCATTTAAATTTATACATTCGTATTTTTATATATCTATATTATGTTATTTATTTATATATTATGGATATATTTATAAATATTCTGTTTGTTCATCACCAAATCACACAATTTTCTGCTTTTTGGATTCATGTCCATCCAAAGGTTGTCCGGAAGAAATCGCTTTTAGCGATAAGACCGCCCATTGTGACAATTTTTTTCCCTTCATTTTTCGTTCATATGTTTTGGTGTACAATAAAGAGTTATCTATCTATCTAAATATTCCACGCAGTTGTATTTTCTTTTATGATTTATGATTATTCCACGCGAATATATGGTATCTCCTATAAGAAGTAGATAAAATACAACTACATTCATAAGTGATGTTTATTTTATCAAAAACAATGTTAAAGTTCACAGCAACTATTTAACTATTATTTTTCACGCAATTTCTCAAGTTTAATTCTCACATATTCAGAATAAATTACTAAGAAAGGTAAACATATTTATACAAAAGGTACAAAACGTATCTACGGGTGGTACATGGTGAGCAGGCACTGGCTCACCACTCGCATGTAGCGCTCCCACACGCTCTTTAGATCCGCCTCCCTGCAAACAATTATACTTCATTACATTTAATATTTCTTTCTGTAATATTGTTTACATTTTATATTCATTAGATTAGAAATCAATACATCATATCTGCAGTAATGCTCATCCCGTTTGCTAGGAAGCTGTGATGAATCAAATGCCGGTGTAGCGATATTCTCAATCTGGTTTCGGTCTTTTTAGCGCATTGCTTTTAAATTGTCTTTTTTGCAGTCGGGTTTTTGTTTTTTTTTTAAATTATTGAATTTTATTACTTTGCCAATTTGACGCAAATGGACCAATATTGTTTTGATGTCAAAAGCTGCTCCTAATTCATCCGTAGTTTGAGTATCATCAGCTTCCATAATCGCCTTTAATTTGTCATTGTCAACCAGTTTTCGGACGACCACGAGTTTCATTTTTCAGGTAGAAATTTCCTAACGGAAGCGGGCAAACCAATTACAGGTGGTGCGTTCGTTTGTAGTAGTCGCTCCGTAACTGGTACTCATATTCCATAATTACTCGAATTTTTAACGTATCCATGATGACGAAAAAGATTCAAATGCGATGAAAACATAACGCTTATCAATAAAAAAATGACTAATTTTGGAAAAAGAATTCCATGTTTTTAAAATAAAATTAAATTCAAATTAAAATTCTTAGCCAAACAAACATTATTTTGATTTGAATTGGCCAGTACTGCAGAACGGCAATTTCATAGGTATATTATTTGATGGCCATGCAAATGATTGTTCCGTGCGCGAATCAAACCCGCGGCCCTTAGCACCGCAACTCTACTCAGCCGTCAATTATGATTATTAGATTCAAAACAACAATTTATGTAGTAGAATTTCCGTATTATAAAAAAAAAAACTCACGTGTACCTCAATACATCCATCTGCAGGGCGCACTGCTCGTACGCGCATAGGAACTGTGCCAGGTCGGTTTTGGGCCAAGAACCCAGCCTCAACGGCTCTACACACCTGAAATAATTTCAAATAAAATCTTAAACAATAGCATATTACGGTGACACTTGTTGCATAGCATACGCATCATGTTAATGTGTAATTTCTTTAACAATTTGATATTTAAAACCATAAAGCACTTTGATTTATACTAAAATGTCAAATATACTACGATTATTACATTAAATTAAGTCTGCAATGTCGTAGTTTTCAGGGTGACAAAGCATCTGCATTTTGATTCTTAACCGAGGATAGATACTGATGTCTATGGATCACAATACCCACTTACCATCAGGTAGATTGTGTTCGTTTATCATTCTTATTCTATAAAAAATAAATATAATAAACGATAACTAGATCACATAACAGAGTTATAGGGACGACACGTCCGATACCGCAACCGTGAAAGCGTACGTACGTACTTTAATGCCTGGGCTACTGGCGTTGAATGTAGGTGTGGCCATCACTTAACGCGATAATTTTACAACGGCATTGTTAATGCTGTTTGCCGTTGGGCGATAACTCGAGTGGCGGTACATCAAAGAGGTTAACGCGTTGAAGCGGCCACACTACGTTTGTCTCATTGTGCACGGTGAGCGCAACGGGATCGCACGTATGGCTATGGAGTGGAATAATGAAAAAAATCTTACGTTAGAGATTCTGCAAACATATCTATGTTTGTGGGATTCAAGACTCAAAAGTTTTAAGAATTGTACATCGAAAAATGATGCTTGGCGATGAATAATGCAATTATTACCTTTTAAAACGACTATCGAAGAAATTAAAAACAAGAAGGAAAGCCTAATAATATAGAAACCATTTAAATAAATATAAAAAAATATAATATGATAAAATATGTTCATATAATAAGAATTTTTATGTAATAAAATATATTCAAGGAACATTAACGCCGCGCCTTTCAACGGCATTGAAATTGAAATGACGTTGACCGTTCCAAGTGTGGCCACTCACTTTATCGCATTAAAATTAAGGCAATAATTGGTGCGTTTATGGGCATTGATGTTTCTCGTTACTGTGGCCCCAGCATCAGAAAGGCTCACGCCCGTACGATCACCATCAGAAAGGCTCGAGAGTATACGGGCTGCTGAAAAGGAAGGATTAAAAAATATACGTTCCTTATTTTGTTCTTTAGTAATAGACTTGTACGGTTGGACTTGCCAGTATCAAGTAATAAGAAATTATCATTTACCATAATTTAGTATTTAGTCTTAAGATGGACATGGACAAAACAAAGATCATGTTTAATGTCCATGTCACACCTATGCCGGTAGTTGTTGGGAACACTAAGCTCGAAGTTGTTGACGAGTATGTTTACCTGGGACAAATAGTCCGACTAGGTAAGTCCAACTTCGACCGAGAGGTCAATCGACGGATTCAACTCGGCTGGGCAGCGTTCGGGAAGCTACGACACATTTTCTCGTCAGACATACCTCAAAACCTTAAAACGAAATTGTACAACCAGTGCGTGTTGCCAGTGATGACTTACGGAACTGAGACGTGGTCCTTCACAGCTGGCCGTATGAGGAAGCTCAAGGTCGCTCAGCGAGCTATGGAGAGGGCTATGCTCGGAGTTTCTCTGCGTGATAAACTTAGAAATAAGAATATCCGCAGTAGAACTAGTGTAACCGACATAGCCCAACAGATTAGTAAGCTGAAGTGGCAGTGGGCCGGCCATATAGCTCGAAGAACCGACAACCGATGGGGAAGAAAGGTTCTCGAGTGGCAGCCTCGTACCGGTAGGCGAAGTGTAGGGCGACCCCCCACGAGATGGAGTGACGACCTGGTAAGGCATGCAGGAAGTCGATGGATGCAGGACCGTGCTTTGTGGCATTCCTTGGGGGAGGCCTATGTTCAGCAGTGGACTTATGAAAGGCTGTAATGATGATGATGATGATAATTTAGTACGTATTAGAACAGACACCGGGAACAAAATCTGTGCGACCGTGTTTAAAATGCAGATGCCTTACCACTCCCGAGGACTAAGATGGAATACCACGTTTCCAGTAAAAACGGTCTCCTCCGGTGAAGCTCCGATTCTCTGCACTCACCATATGAATAACGACAACATTAAGCTCCTATCTACTTCACGCTAGTATTCTGTGGGAGCGTAGTTCTTCCCCGGTCGAGCCCACCCATTCTTGCTACTACCATTATATATTTTTTTTACTATTTTAGCCAGCACTATAATCCGGATGGTAAATGGTGCTGTAGCCTAAGATGGTAAAGTGAACTGACTTAACAAAAGCCTATTCACTCTTGTCTTGGAAGACATTCACATTGTAATCGGATGGAAAGAGAGATGCTGGCAACTTATTCCACTCCTTTGCTGTACGCATGATGAACGATATAGCAAATTGTTTCGTTCGAACGCGTGGTAAGTCAACAACGAAAGGGTGGAGACTGGCTGAACGTCTGGTTGTCCGATGGTGGAAGGGAAAGGGGACGGGAAGGACTCTCCGAAATGATCCTGTAGAAAACCGAAAGCTACTTTGCGCTTGTATTCGAGGCTGGTAAGATTGGTTTTAAACCAGATTCAGGTCACCAATAAGCCTCTTAGCACTTGGTTGGTAACTCTCCACAACTGTGCTATCATCTGTATACCCATAGAACGGACCCCTGAGGAATACCGGCGTTAGTCGCCACAGGATCGGATGAGCAGTCATCGACCACGACCCGGAGAGACCGTTCACTCCTTAGGTAGTCCTTTACCCAGTCAATCAGGCTAGAGGATAAGCCGTACGCTGGAAGCTTACCAAAATAACTAGCGTGCCAATCTCTGTCAAAGGTCTTCGACTTCGAGAAATCAAGAGAAACAGCAAGTGGGGAAGACTGTTCTCAAGTGCCTCTCTTCATACGTGCATAGCATACGCTAGAAGGTCCCCATATGACCGATTTCGGCGAAACCCATACTTGCGGTCACTGAGAAGGTTATTCTGTTCTAGGTATGCCATTAAGGGAGCGTTCAATAGACGCTCCATAAACTTGTAGAGTATGGAGGTAATTTAGATTGGCCGATAAGTGGCAAGATCGGCGTGGCTGCCTTTTTTTTTCTAACAGACTACACGTTGTGGCCAACTTCCAGGATTTTGGCACTATTGTAGTCCTAAATGACAGGCGGAACAAGCGTGTCAGGCAGCACAGGAGACAACTCAGGTGCACAAGCCTTTAGAACTATAGCTGGTATATCATCTGGTCCACTAGCTATATTCACGTCTAGACACCGCAAGAGATCGCGAGTGAGGTAATTCAGGTGTAACGTTGTTGCCAGTGTACAGACGCGAATTGCAGGCAAAAAGAGACGCGAAAAAGTCCGCTTTCTCTTTAGCCGTATGCGCTAGTATTGGTAAGAGACCAAATGTTCTAATGCCGGATTGTCTGGCAGAGTTTTGCGCCAATATATATGTTTTAATGCGATCGATAGTGGCTTTCCGTAACGCTTTTTTTGGTTGAAAATATCAAAGCTCTCTTCTTGGCGCTGATATCCGGAGCTTTGCGGTCTCTAGTGTCAACCCAGAATAGATATCCTTTTCAGCTTAGGCGCATTCAGCTTTAAATCATGGGCGAGCTGTACTACCGGTGGGAGCGTCAGAAAAGGGATAAAATCTCCATAACTTGATGCAACATATCGGTTATCGCATCCGCGCAGCTCGAAGTATCCGCAGAATAGAGACGGACCTCCCGGCCAAGGACAGAATGCAAGAAAGTGTCGCATCTCATCCCAATTAACTGACTTATACCACCATATTCGTCATACACTTTGGGTAATGAGGTGGAGAATATGACGATACAGATTTCAAAAGACAGTGCTCAGATGTACCCAAAGGAGAGGTAACCTGTACTTCATACCTGTCTAGTTTGGTAGTCAGCAGAAGGTCCAAGTAATTGGCTGTGTGACCGTCTACATCGGGTACCCTAGTTGCTTCCTTTACCAACTGAGAAAGACCTAGCGTCAAGGCAAACCCTTCTCGTCCAGCATGGTTGGTCTTCTGGTATGGGAACAGCCAGTCTTAGTGACAGGCGTCTCCCAGAAGGCGTTAAAGTCTCCCAGAAAGACCAGCTATGCAGTAGGATACCGATCAGCAGATGCCACATCAGCAGACCCACTAAGGTAATCTTCGAAGAGATAATCGAAATGTCTCCTGGTCACCGCTGTGCGATCGATAGACACAGGCATAAAGTATTTTACTGTAACTGTTTATTTAATACCTGTATCTACCATCACTCCGGTAGTCGAAAAAGTAAAGAGTACTTCAAGGTGACGGAGAATGGAAGCAAATGTCATTGCGGACGTACACACAGACGCCGGCACTTATATGGAATTTGTGCTCCAGGGAGAATCTAGGATAGTCAAGGTACGCCGCATTCAATGGACATCCCATTTAGGTCTCTTGAATAAACAATTGATTCAAGAAAAGTAGGTGCGGCTTGTCAGTCTCGAGATGGTGATGGACTGCGCTGAGATTTGAGTGCAATCCTCGAATATTAGAGAGGTGCTTTTTTAATGAGAGGACGTGCGCAACTTCTGTTGAGGCTTACTTTACTTTTTAAGATACATAAGAGTTAAGTTAGCTGCAGCGTGGCTCCACCATGTGTAAACAAAAAAAAAAAATACACGTGGTTTTCAACAATAGCTTCATATACGCAGACACTCAATACACAAAATCGTATCACTTTTACGTATCAAAATCCATTTGCAACCATTATTTAAACAGTAATACAGGAGCAGAAATCCGCCGGCGTTCAAGTGTCCGTCAAAACCCTAAAATATGTTGTTAATAGTAATAGTATAACAAAGTATCTAACTTCAATGTATACCACAAGACCGGCTATTTAGAATAAAAACTGAGTCACAGCTGTGATTCGTGCGGGCGGGTAGCTGGCACGGTAAATATGCCACGCCGTTGTACTTTCATCTACGAGAGTTAGTCTTTTTAGGTAAATACAAAATAAAGTTACATAGGCAACTATCTGAAATGAACAAATCACGTTGACAAAGTGCGCACATAAATAATAACAGCGTTTCCTTAGTCACATTAAATAAAATCAGTGTGAGATTGTCATTGTTAGTTACGGAGAATTGAGCGTAACTTAGTGCGCGATGTAAAAGTACCGTAGTGTTCATTTTGTAGTACACATAGAAATCTTTGTAGCAGAATATAGGAGGTAAGCTGTGCACTGACCTCTCGAGGAGATCTATGAAGAGTGATCTCAGTTCCCGTGCGCGGTGCAGGTTGCAGGCCAGCCCCACCAGCGCCCTCGTGTACAGCCTGCAAATACCACTAGCTTTTAGCCATTGTGATACCCTTACTCATTACTGCGGCATATAAGAAGTCAGTCGTAGCATCCCCCCCCCCCTCCCGCCCCCCCCAAAACATGAATTACAAAGTTGATAACTGAATTTTGTGGCATTATTCCCCCACTCTAGGATTTACTCCTGTATCGTGCGTGAAGGCAGTTTGCATACATAAATTGTACAAGGACAAACATCCAGACTCAGAACAATTATTAGTACAAATATTAGTTTCGTGTGGGATTCGAACACGCAGCCATCGTATCCGCAATTCAATGCTAAGCCACTGCGCCAAAGATGCAAATTCAGATTATATTGGCAGCCTTGAAGTGAATAACGTAGCAGCCAAGCGGCAAGCCTTGCCTTGTCTTGGTGCCGTTGTGACAGGAACATGACTACGCAGTAGACTCCAAAAACGCTGAACCAATGTTATGAATTTTATTAATTATAGGAAGGATGTTACGCAGATGGTAGCACCCACCCATCTTCACTATTGAAATAAGGATGTTTTTTGATTTCAGTAACCTTGAGAATCATCCTTTGAAGGAATCGGTGCTTTGGCGAGGATTTGTAGATCTGATGTAGTGGCGGAGGCGATCCTGTACGTGTTCACAGTCTGAGACTTCCTGAAGCGTTAATTCTTCAAAATATGACACAGCCTTAGAGCAAGAGAGTTCCATAGTTTCTGACGTTTATAAGAACTTAAAACAATCCTAAATTAAATTTAACAAGACTATCTTTGAGTTTATTATAAAACTAGCTGTGCCCGCGGCGTAGCTCGCGTATACAGGTTTTACATAAAGAATTTGTCGTTTAGGTAAGAGAATATAATTTATTTCATTACTGTATCAATAACTGGTAACTAAATAAATCATTATCATCAAAGTTCTAAGTCGTTTATGATAGAGCTTCTGTGTAAACGACGTTAGAAGTAGGCTTAGCCGGGGTGTACACAAAAAGTTTACGGGGGCTACTAACGCGGGAAAAAGCAACATAGAGTTGGCCATGTGCAAAACAGTCAGTACTGAGGTACACTCCTACAACGCGTAAAGTTTGACCTTGCGCTTTATTTACGGTCATCGCATAACACACGCTCACTGTAACTGGGAACTGAACGCGCTTAAAACTGAAAGGAAAGTTACTTCTTAATAGAGGGTTTTTGGGCAGTGCTGCCAGATAAAAAAAACTCATTCAGCTCTAGGACAACACAAAAAGCGCTAGATTTCATGAAAACAGCGCTTTAAAAAAGCCCTAGATTTCGCGCTAAATTAACTACAAACAAAGTTTGTGTTTTTTTATATAATCATAATAAAAAAACTTAATGTTGTTAAGTTTTTTTTCTGGCAATATTTTTTTGATGTATCAATAATTCGCAGGAAATCGACTTATATTTATGGCAATTGCTGTCAACAGTAGTTAGTACTGTACGAACAATAAAAATACTGACTTGACATTGGCAGAATTCTAAAAAGAGGGGCCATAAAACTAAGAAAGAAGAAGAAGAACAATAAAAATGTCATTAATTGTTTTAAAGTGCAATGTATTTCGCAACTTAGTTTCAGATGTCAGCATCTGATTGCAGTTGCTACACAGTTTCTTTGTGATATAACTTCTAAGTAACTTTTAACTTAGCTGTGCTCTAAGCAACTGACTGAAACTGAATAAAGCAAAATAAATGCGTTGCCAAAACCATGAACGAAAACTTTAATAAAGGGGATTTCCCCGCTTATAGTCGTCGGTAAAAAAATCAAGTTGATCATCCTAAAGGGGAAGCCAGGAGATCCATAGCACAGGGTATCCTAGTTTGGACTCGTCTCCCACGCTCTTTGTTTTGTGGAAAAAATATGTTTGAAAAAGATAAACTGCAATGTACTATTTGTGGGAAAAATAATAAAGGTCATTATTATTATTATCAGTAATGTGGACTAACAGAGCTGCTATAAAAGAGTTAGATAGACCGCTAGTCGCTACAATTTTGAAATGTGTGCTAAATACACCAAAAAGCGCTGGATTAAGCGCTAGGTGCTAAAATTTCGAAATGCGCGCTATACATTCCAAAAAAGCGCTAAATCTAGTTCCCAAAGCGCTAAAATAAGAGTACTGGTTTTGCGTATATTATAAATACAATATCACGACATTTCGTTGCAAAATTTTTATTTTTGGTCGGGTTCCGTTGTATGGCTTCGATGGATACAAATTTCTTCAGTAAGTCTCAATACGATTCATCGGCGAAAAATCTCAACACAGCAATTCAGAAAAGTTTGTAATTTGTACAACTCCATCCATTACGTCCTTTGTGTGAGAAAACATCCTTTTTAAATCTCTTTTTGTGTTTTAAGTATAAATATATTAATTATTATGGAACGTTTTTTTTACACACAAATCTTTTTATTACTATTTCTGAGATTTTATGGCGCCATTGAACAAATTCGAACCTACATTTCAAAATAATAATCATTACTTTCGATAGAATTAACCAATTTTAATAAAACAAAGATTAAATGTAACTCGAAGATACGCTTTATGATTTTCTTAACGATTTCTTTGAAAATAAAAGATGTTTACTTTAGACGTGATGCGTTCATATAATAACAGACAAATAGACATACAGACAATTCTAAAAATTCTAAAATGTTCTTATTTAATTATTTTCTGTTCCCCATAATGATTTTAGCCACCAAAATATATACCTATACAATGTACAGAAAGAGACACAATATGTTATCATCATTTTTATTATATGTATATATTTGAAGAGAGATGGCGCTGCTAACATCAATTCTAAAAATAAAAGAGATTAATTGACGCGATTGATACATTATATAAAACGCAAGAGTACTTATAAATCAGTGCCTGCACAGTAAGCAAAAAATAAAGTTTGACTCTCGCCAAAACCAACGATTTGTTAATAGCTCTTTTAAAATTTGATTTACCACATAGAGTACTCGGCGGTAAAGAATAAATTGAGTTTATCAACACGCAGTAGGGCAGCGAGTAATATAATAAAGATTAGCAGTAAATATGAAAACTCATCTACAGGAAAAAAAAACATTGCAATTGCATTACATTTTCACAACACCACCATCTATCGAAGAAATGGGAAAACTATTGTGCTTCAGATTTAGTTAATAAGGTTAATATATTTTTGTATAATATATTTAATACGTTTTTGAATACTTTTGTTTACTGCGTTTTAGATATACATAATTATATCATTATTTTACATAATTTAACTATGATTTATGATATGATATTAGTTTAAAATGCACCTGATGACACAAACAAAGCCACCGTTGAGCAAATTCGTACCTATACTTCCCTACCCATACTTCAGAATATTTATCATAACTTTTGATGGAATGAACTGATTTTAATGAAATAAAGACTAAATGTAACCCGAAGATACACTTTATAATTTCCTTAACAATTCTTATGATATAAATTAGTACTTTATACGTGATACGTTAACAAACAAACAGACAGACAGACAGACAGACAGAAAATTCTAAAAATGGTAGAAATGTATTTAATTACTTATTTTTAGTACCCCTCAATCACTTTTATTACAAAAATATAAAATGTACAGACATCTGCTATTTACAGTTTTATTATATGTATAGACAATCTCCCATTACTGTTTACAATTTTATTCGGCCCTAAAGCTAAAGTTTAAACATAATATTACATTTATTGGTATTATTAGCGTCAGTAGCCTAATGGCAGGGCGAGGACCGCGAACTCGAAAGGTCGTGGGTTCGAATCCGCCATTCGACTACTGTCGTAAACCACTTCTAACACAAGCATTTTAAGCTTACCAGAAGTGGTTAAAGGGAATATTAAACCTTACTATGTTTAATAGCACTACTAGTATTTAAAAAAAAAATTCCACGTATCAGAATTAACCCTTCCGTATGTCACAGTTACTTCTTACTTAATGCCGTCTGTCTTTGTTTCACGCAACTGACTACATCCTCTCCCATACTGTAGTGTATTGCCATTCTAATAAAGTTAATTTACCAATAAAAAGTCAATTTTTCGATTAGAAAACATATTCTTAGGATATTAACTAAGTAAAAACCTAAAAAATTAATAAAAGAAAGTGTAGCTAACACTATAATGTTTAGCAAACCCCACCTGAAGTTAAGCTCGAGCTCCTGGTAGGACTTCTCTAGCAGCTTGGGTTTGAGCCGCATGCAGATGAGGTGTTTGTGCTCCTTCTCCTTGTCTAGCAGGATGCGGAGTTCCCGAAGTTCCAGTAAGAACTCGCGGTCCATCTCCGTGTCGTAGTACTCCGGGCCCGTGCAGCTGTACGTCCAGCTGCCCATGATCGCCTGTCCAACCGAACATGACAAGTTTTATTAGTTTACTATTAAAATAATATCTTTCCTAGTATTGGTTATAGCAGGCCTGCCTTACTCCGCGATTTAGGCAGGAAAATATACCTACGCTGCTTGCCCCCTACAAGAGGCTAATTCAGTGAGATTGTCACGCGCGCGCTCGGGCTGACGAGCATCCTACGTTAACAAAAAAGTATTTTTCTCTTATAAGTATTTAGGCACTTTTGATATTTATTTTTAAGTTTTTATTCAAGTATGGCCTCTCAAAAAGCCAAAACTGCATAGCATACGGGTGCTTAACCCTTTTGCTGTCCCGTACACTACATATTGCATTGCTATTGTGCAAACCGGACAGTGAAAGTGTTAAATAACAATAGAAATGTCGACTTTTCTTTCTTTTCTTTTCCTAAGGATACCGAAAGCTGAGATATTATTATTTATAGGCAGATCTAGATAATTACCTACCTAGTTACTGACTCCATATCATCATCATCATCATCATTACAGCCTTTCATAAGACCACTGCTGAACATAGGCCTCTCCCAAGGAATGCCACAAAGCACGGTCCTGAGCCACCTGCATCCATCGACTTCGTCACTCCATCTCGTGGGGGGTCGCCCTACACTTCGCCTACCGGTACGAGGCTGCCACTCAAGAACCTTTCATCCCCATCGGTTGTCGGTTCTTCGAGCTATATGGCCGGCCCACTGCCACTTCAGCTTACCAATCCGTTGGGCTATGTCGGTTACTCTGGTTCTACTGCGGATATACTCATTTCTAAGTTTATCACGCAGAGAAACCCCGAGCATTGCCCTCTCCATAGCTCGCTGAGCGATCTTGAGCTTCCTCATATGGCCAGCAGTGAAGGACCACGTCTCAGATCCGTAAGTCATCACTGGCAACACGCACTGGTTGTACAATTTCGTTTTAAGGTTTTGAGGTATGTCTGACGAGAAGATGTGTCGTAATTTCCCGAACGCTGCCCAGCCGAGTTGAATCCGTCGATTGACCTCTCGGTCGAAGTTGGACTTACCTAGTCGGACTATTTGTCCCAGGTAAACATACTCGTCAACAACTTCGAGCTTAGTACTCCCAACAACTACCGGCATAGGTGTGACATGGACATTAAACATGATCTTTGTTTTGTCCATGTTCATCCTAAGACCTATACGTTGGGAGACACATTGAGCATGGTGCTTAGGTCCTCCAGCGATTCTGCCACAAGGACTATATCGTCGGCAAATCGAAGCGGACGTGATGTACTCGCCATTGATGTTAATACAGTATCATTTCCAGTCCAGAAGCTTGAAAACGTCTTCCAATACAGCGCTGAAGAGTTTCGAGGATATAACATCACCCTGTATTAGACCTCTCTGCAATTTGATAGGTTTCGTACCCTGGTTCTGTACTCGGATAGCATCCATCCGTAGCACCATCGTAGCTCTACTGTACCAACACATCAGCACTTCGATATACCGACAGTCAACTTGGCACCGATGAAGGGACTGCAGCACCGCTCTAATTTCGACGGAATCAAAGGCTTTCTCATAGTCCACATACGCCAGACATAGTGGCAAATTGTACTCCTTGGACTTCTGTACAATTTGCCGAAGGGTACGTATGTGGTCTATGGTGCTAAAGCCCTTTCGGAAACCGGCTTGTTCGGGAGGCTGGAAGTCGTCAAGTCTGCGCGCGAGACGATTCGTAATGACTCTCGAAAATAGCACGTAGATGCGGCTCAGAAGGAAAATCTGTCTGTTGTTCTTCAAGAGAGCGTTGCCACCTTTCTTGAAGAACAAGACTACCGCACTTCTGCTCCACGCCTACGGTGTAACGCCACCATGGAGGACAGAATTAAAGAGCTTCTGAAGGACTGCAAGTACCGGTCTTCCACCCGCTTTCAGAAGCTCTGCTGTAATTCCATCCTCGCCTGGGGCCTTGCCGTTTTTAAGGTACTGGAGAGCCATTCTAATCTCGCTCAGACTGACGTCCGGGATATCTTCGGAATAGTGTCGGATAAGACTCGCTCTTGGATCGTTACACACACTTGCGTGTGGTTCCAACGATAACGTGTACAGCTCGCCATAGAACCTCTCAATCACACTCAAAATCTCAGGTGCCCCGTAAACGATGCTGCCACATTCGGTCTTCAGCTTTGACAGTTGGCTCTTCCTGACAGATCTCTGGCAAAGACTTTGCAGTCTTGGTTCCGCTCGATCGCTTCTTCAATACAAGCTGTATTGACGTTTAGCAAGTTCCGCCGCATGGATATGTATATCTGTCTGTTCAGTTGCCTGTAAGCTGTCAAATCTGTTGAAGAATGTAGCTTCATCTCCCGTCTAACAGCCATGAGATTGAGAGTGTGATCGGAGAGTTTTTGTGTTCGTCTGCGGCGGGTCTTGCAGAACTTTGCTCCGACCGCATGGACAGTTTCCACGAGCTTGTCATTCATATCGTCCACTTCATTGCAGTCTTCTAGGCACTGAAAACGGTTTTGTAACTCGAGCTGATGGTTTCGAGACTTTGGAACAGAGCACGAGTGGAACGGAGCGTTGAATTCATTAGAAGAGACCTCTCCAACTTAACGTTTAGGTTCAGTGTGCCTATAACCATTCGGTGATCGCTACCAGTTTTTACCCTCGCTATCACGGAGACATCACTGAACAGTTGTCGTCTGGTCGTCATAATGAAGTCAATCTCATTTTTTGTGGAACCGTCGGGGCTCGACCAGGTCCACTTCCTGTGGGGCCGCTTCTGGAAGAAAGAGTTCATCATAAAGAGTCCCTCTTTCACCATGAAGTCGGCAAGCTGTTGGCACCTTGGGTTCCGTTGTCCTATTCCAAATTTCCCTACTTTCAGTTCACCGTTCTCTCTTGTGCCTAGTTTTGCGTTGAAGTCTCCCATTAACACCGTATAGTGGGTTTTGGAGGAATGCATGGCTCTAGAGATATCCTCATACATTTCCTCCACCTCCTCATCGGGGTGTGCCGAGGTTGGTGCGTAAACCTGTATGACCTTCAGCGAATACCGTTTGGTAATTCTGAGTATAAGGTACGCAACCCTCGTCGACACACTCTCAATCTTTACAACGTTGTTAACCAAAGACTTGTGGACGATAAATCCGACACCTCCTTGGGACAGATGCTCGCCCTCCCGGTGATAGAGCAAGTTGTCAGATTCGAGGATTACCGTGTCCTCCCCCTATCTTCGGACTTCGAATAATCCTATAATATGCCAGCGTAACTTGTCTATCTCTTCTTCCAGCTCCACGATCTTTTCGTCAGTCCTCAGGCTGCGTGTGTTGTGTGTTGCCAGGTCGAGTCGTCTTAGGTGGCAATCGAACCTCCACCGGAGATTCTTAGCACCCCCTGCCCCGCCGTTACCATGGTCGCCATGATAGCCAAGAATAGCGGGGCCGCCGGGGACTGGGGGCCGTTTCTTTGTTACTCTCATCATAGGGGAGTATTTGCCATACTTGCCACGCTTGGCGATTGGGTTGGCAACCGCAGTATTTTTATTGTAAGTTTGTTGTTATCAGGAAGATGCTGCTGCCCATCTCCTGCCTGTTTCCCTTTGTCGCCTTTTACGACACCCACGGGAAGATATGGGGTAGTGGATATTCTTAACCGCCACTACACGGCGACTGACTCCATAGTAACAGATTTATTATTTAACAAACTTAGGCATCGGTATGAATCAAGTACACAAAATCCTCCATGAAGATTTAGCGGTCAGGAAGCTTTGTACCTCATAATTTGACAGAGGCCCAAAAACTCCGTCGTGTTGATTGGTGTCGTGAAATGGTTCAAAGATTTAACGGAGGTGACTCAAATGCTGTGTTCGACATACTTACGGGTGACGAAAGCTGGATTTATTGTTATGATCCTAAAACTAAGAGACAGTCTGCCGTTTGGGTGTTTTCTTCCGAGGAGTTGTCAACTAAAGTGAAGAGAGGTCGAAGCGTGGGAAAAAATATGGTGGTCTCGTTCTTCGGAATGACAGGTCATAACGCAACAATTGTTTTAGAGGATCGAAAAACAGTTACTGCAGAGTGGTACACTAACAATTGTTTGCCACTTGTCTTGGAAAAAGTTCGGGAGAAACGACCTCGCAGTAGGATCCTCCTTCACCACGACACGCCTCGTCGCATACCGCCAAGCAAACAATCGACTACTTGGCAACGTCAGTACGTACTTTATTGAGGATAGATGTGGATGTCTATGGGTTACAGCAAAGCACTTACCATCAGGTGGACTGTGTGCTCGTTTGTCACCCTAACCTATAAAAAGAAAAGGTAAATTATAATGCTACATGAAAAAATGCTTGGAACATGAATAGCTAATACTAATATATCTAATATATATATAGTATAATAAAGATAATGCATTGTCACATGGTACATCAATGCTGTAGTTGTATGATTGCAGACCAGACCAGATTGTCGACCAGAGAAGAACTACGCCCTCACACAATACCAGCGAACCAACACTCATAATACGAAACACAGCATCTGTATCCTTCTTAGTAGTAAAGAGGTGTTTTTTTTATTTTATTTATTGCAGAGTCAGTCAATTTTCGTTCTCAAGGGTGACAACGAAACCGCTAAACATTAATATACTATCAGATAGAGTTTTTTTTTTAAGGTCACCTGATTGTAAGTGACTACCGCCGCCTTTGAACAACTACAACACCAGGGGATTTTTTTTTTATAGGATCGAGTGACAAGCAAGCACACATTCCACTTGAAGGTAAGTGGATGCTGTGGCCCATGGACATCTACATTTATCTTCGTTTGCGAATCAAAACGTAGATGCGTTGTCACTCGCGAGGACTAAGATGGAATGCCTCTTTTCCAGTAAAAAGGGTCTCCGGTTCTCTACACTCACCATACGAAACACAGTAGTGTTAAACTGCTATTTTACGTTGGTATTCTGTGAGAGCGTGGTCCTTCCCCGGTCGAACCGACCCATTCGTGCTACAACTATACCACTAATATAGCTGCAGCGTGGCTCTACCACGTAACAAAAGAATGCGTTGCGTTGCCGTTCTTTTGTAATTGTTTATTTACAAAAGACCTTCAACGCATCTGTATTCCTGTTGTTATCCTATTGTAATTGTTTAGAAGGGTTGTTATACTACTAAAGAGTACATGATTGATAATAAACAACCCCTGGGAATGAGGTGGTCGCCATCACGCTGTTTCTAAATATTTTCATACTAACTGCATAAATTATTATATTGTAATTTTTTTTAAGTCCCGCTGGATTTTTTGATGGTTCTTTCCAGGACAAAGGCTTTTCAGAACCAGTTGTAAAGTTTAACTGACTTTCTAAACCTATTCTTGTAATCTATATTAAATAAAAATTATTTTATTCTATTCTATTCTTTGGTCGCCCTTACTCCCTATATAACATGGAAATAATTCGAAAGTGTGAGTGTTATTAATGACCGACCTGTGCGCAGTGAAAGAAGTCATTGAAGGTGAGGTACTGCAGCTTGCGCTTGGTGGTCTCGAAACGCATGCACGCGATGAACACCACCGCTCCATATTTCCTAAAACAGGTAATAATAACAAACACACTACTTCAGAATCATGCAACATTACCAAAACGAGTGAAGAAAGTAATTTGGTCCCAAAAACTCTCTTGAAACAAGTATGTTTAGTCTTCAACATTCTTCATAAACGAAAAAATGTTTGGATAAATGTAGATGTCTATGGGCCACAGTAACCACTTACCATCATGTGGATTGTGTGCTCATTTGTCACCCTTATTGTGGCGTACGTGAGGGTAATTCGGTTAATAGCGGTGTTTGCACAGATGGCTCTATGACACAAGAGCTCTTCGGCAGTCAAAGAAATTATAAAATGTGAAAAGTGCACTGCTTTATCGACGCCATTTTGACAGTTGACAGTATAGCAAATATGATCATGAACTGTATTTTTTAAGTTGATTTTTCGAAGTGTTCCTAATTATTGCCAAAGCTTGTTTGCTATTCTTTTCCTCCTCACGTGCCTTATGAAAAATACTTACTTGGCGAGCGGCTCGGATATGAGGAAGGTGTTGCGTATGTTGGCAACCACGTTGCCCGGCATCTCCTCCACCGCCTTGAAGACGCGGCGCACGTTGTCGAACTGGCGGCGGCAGCAGCGCAGCGGGGCTCCCGACCGCTCCGCCACCTGCACACATACACTCGCGGCAACTAGCGGTTGCACTGCCCACGTGACTCGTGATACGCGACACTTGACATGTGCCACAACTCAGTTACAAGACCTAATTGTTTAACTGAACTGCCTAAATCTATCCTATCCTATGAAATTAAATTAAATATATTTCATTGAGGTAAGAAAATAAAATTTTATTTTTGAATTGTTATTTTTTTTATTCTACTGTTTCGTAATGAGGTTTCTCTGACCAGAAAAGAAAGTACGAAAGAAAATTCAAAGGTATCCAAAAATATTTGTAATTTTTTAAGTTTTTTTTTTTAAGTTAATTTCATACCATAATTTATTCAGGTGGACAATTTGGGACGCTCTTGGGTGGATGCAGTCAAGTGTGGGAAGGAGCTGACTTTCGGATGCAGAGATAACAAGAGTATATGCCATGTCATCACTTAACTACATATTCTAATTAATTTAAAATTTAATTTAGAGCCTTACAATAAAAGTTAATTTAGTCGATGCATAAAATGTATTTATTTTGCGACTTACCTCATCTAAATCCTTTCTGTGCCTCGAAGACAGCTTTCTGCCAAGTAACTCTCTGATAACTGCATCATCAAGATCATAATACCTTGAACAGGAGAAGATTTGTTACAAAATACATGAGAATAAAATTAATACATTTATTTTTACATTACTAAACAAGCAATTAGTTTATAATACAATATTGATTTGAGAGCAGCCTAAACCGAGCAGTGTACACTAAATACGAAAAAAAAATTATTTAACATTAATTCCTGTTAAATAAAACACGCAAAGAATTATTTAATCTGTACTTGTTATAGCCAAATTTAAAAGTTGGAGTAGGAACAACAATTCGGTGTTGCCACTGAATGATGCATTACATTGCTATAAATAAATACATTTTTCCTTATTTATGTTATAAATAGATATATAACTAATTATACATGTGTATTATATATTATTATTCATTTTATATAAAACTATTATACAGGCTGTTTGTGAAACGCTCCCGAAAACGAAGACAGACGATAGTGCTAACGATACCTTTGATGATGGTCAGAACAAAAATCGATCCCGAGAAAAAAAAACATCATTTCACAACGTTGTATTAGCTTTATTTACGCTCCACCATATTAGTTCAGCTAATTGAAACAAAAATTTCATTAAAAAAATCATGAAAATAGTTAAACATAAAACCAGCAGTGAAATTTAAAATTAATAAATCAGCTGACTAGGGTCAATATTCGCGCGAACTCCGAATTCGCGCGGCCCGCAGCTACCGATCGTACCAATGCCTAATAATTTACAACACTTGTCTAAATACCTAACGTATCTACTTAACCTATTATTTTGCCATTGCGCTTGTCTCCACCTATCCACTTTAATTCGAATTCACAGGTTAAATACATGGTTCGATTCCCCGCTAATGAAAAATTTACTTAAATGAAATGTTAACAAGGATAGAGTCATGCTTTTTTATCCATCGTGTAGGTACGTTTATTTTTCTGATGTATTCAATTATGTAGTGATAGGGTGACAAACGAGCACACAGTCCACCTGATGGTAAGTGGTTGCTGTGACCCATAGACATCCACATTTATCCTCAATGAAGAATCAAAATACAGATGCGTCATCACCCGTGAGGACTAAGATGGAATGCCTCTTTTCCAGTAAAATGGGTCTCCGGTTCTCTACACTAACAATACGAAACACAGCAGCGTTTAGCTGCTATTTTACGCTGGTTTTCTGTGAGAGCGTGGTTCTTCCCCGGTCGAGCCGACCCATTCGTGCTACAACTATACTACAATATAGCTGCAGCATGGCTCTGCCACGTGTAGAGTATTAAGTTATTCAGTATTAAGTTATTTAAAAAAAAATTAGGTATGAAACAGCTTCCCGATCTAAATATTTTTATGTGGTAGAGCCATGGTGCAGCTGTATTGTGGCTGCAGCATGAATGGGTCGGCTCGTCCGGAGTGGGACCACGCTCTCACAGAATAGCAGCGTAAAATAGCAGCTTAATGCTGCTGTGTTTTGTATGGTGAGTGTAAAGAACCGTAGACCCTTTTTACTGGAAACGAGGCATTCCATCTTAGTTCTCAGGGGTGACAACGCATCTGCATTTTGATTCTTAATTGAGGATAAATGTATATGTCTATGGGCCACAGCATCCACTTACCATCAGGTGGACTGTATGGTTGTTTGTTACACTTATTCTGTAAAAAAAAAAAGATCCGTAGCCTTATGCGATTTTCCAAGGCACATTAACATGTTGCCGTATTCAGGAGCACCATAAACATACGCATTGTTGCATTGTGTACCGCACGGAGGCGTTTTATCTCCTTTACTTTTTGCAGTTTTTATAAACTCAATATCCAATAATTTAACTTCTTCCTACCACCTTTATGCAGATGATCTACAAATATATACAAAAGCTTATCCCAACGATCTCCCCAATGCTATCAATGTCGTTAATGCAGATCTCGATCGAATTCTTGAGTGCAGTAATGCATACGGCCTTCACGTTAACCCAACAAAATCGCAAGGCATTATCATGGGCAGCGCGCAAATGTTAGCTAAGTCGAGCCTTGATTACCTGCCTTTAACATTTGGTAAAACTATTATTCCTTACAGAGATTCAGTAAAGAACTTAGGTATCCACATAGATAAGAATCTGCCGTGTGGACAGCACATCAAAGAAATTAATCACAAAGTTTATGCCTCGGCAGCCTCCTTGCGTAGATTACGTAACTTTCTTCCCATTTCCACCAAAACTATGCTTGCCAAGTCGCTTCTCTTCCCTATTTTTGACTACGCAGACGTCAGCTATCTAGATCTCACCGAAGCTCAGCTCGATAAACTTGAGCGAATTCAGAATTTTTGCATAAGGTTTAAATTTGGATTGCGCAAATATGACCATGTATCTCTTTTTCGTACTAAGCTCAAGTGGTTGCCAATACGACTTCATCGGAATGCTCACTTACTTCATCTTCTCTATAGTGTTTTCTTTAATCCTTCTTACCTCAAAAATCCTTTTGAGTTTCTTCGTGATTCCCATTCGCGTAACTTGAGATCAGCATAGAGTTTGAAGTTGAATTTGCCACTATACACTAGAAAATTTATGAACAAGTATTTACTGTACGGGCCGTTCATTTATGGAATGAACTCCCACTGTCAGTAAAACGCGCACCATCCCTACCGGTATTTAAAAAACTAGTTAAGAATCATTACCTCGCACTTTAAATTCGAACTTCACTACCACACTGTTAATATTATATGTAGCATTTCAATTTCATTTAAATAATTAAATGTATATGTATTTTATTTTTAGTGTGTGTGTGTGTGTGTGTGTGTGTGCGTGCGTGCGTGCGTGCGTGCGTGCGTGCGTGCGTGCGTGCGTGCGTGCGTGCGTGCGTGTGTGTGTGTGTGTGTGTGTTTTCTTTTTTATCTCTTTTTTTCTCTATCACACCAATTTGCCCAATAAGACCGCCCTTTGCATACTTCTTTTATATATATCGGAAATGACAACAGGAGATCCCACTTCTGATGTCGGAGAATTACAACATAGGATTCCAATTTTGACCTTTGAAATACATCAGGATAGCGTTAACTGTTAAAAATAATAAAAGTGTGAGAGCGGATATTCAACTTGCTCTCGTGCTTACGCAATTAATCATTATCGGTAATAAGACAACGTAACGCACTATACATTCAGTATAGTGAAATTACAGTTCGATCACACCGTAATACGTCTCAGCCACAATCACACACCAGTGTAACGTGAGGTGCGTAATTACATGATAACACCAAAATATGTACAGCAACAGCAACACTACTTATCTCAATGTAACACAGGGCAGCCTCTCAGCAACACCAATCCTCCTTGCCTGCACTAGAAGAATTACCACAACGAACAGAACCACGACAATATCTTAGCACTAGTCGAATGACCACATCCCGTTGAATGACTTGAGCGGAATCTCCCGCGCACGGCACCTACAGTGAACTTTATACTGCACAAACAAGTGGGAGTTTCTCGATATACCCTCCATTGCACCTCAATCCAACCAGGTATTTTATAGACACTCCGACACGGCCATCCTGAAGTACGACCGTCCTCGGGCGTGTATTTTCATGCATTCCTGTAACAAACACCAATTCGTCCGCTCGTCCATCCTGACATGAGTGGGTACACATTATTAGTTCGCAAAACCAATTGTTAGATGGCGCTGCTTGTTTCAATATGACGCCATCAATCCATGACACGGCCATTCCTGACTAGCATCAGTCCTCGGTTCCAGTGCCTGGAGACAAAATATGCTTAGTGATTAATCTAGCTCGGCTATTCTGCCAATAGAAACAAGGTTGATTCAAAACAGTACTTCACTTTTCCCAAGTCTAAGTACAATAGTCAACTGTCATAATTGACAATGCCTTGTTATTAAGGCTTCTTACACAGTGCTTCCTGCACAACATGATTTATTGTGGAAGGTCCGATCAACAAGTTCCAACAGTAATTTTAACATTTTTTTACTCTTTACAATTCATAAGCAATGCATATTCAACTCGTGAAACTTTCATTGAAATCTGTGCACCAACACAGACCAGAATCGCACCAACGATTCTTTATATAACCGCCGTCACATATGCCAGAATCGCACCAACGATTCTCCACATATCTGCCGTCATATATGCTACAATACACAAGGGGCTCTGTGCACCAACACAGGCCAGAATCGCACCAACGATTCTTTACATATCTGCCGTCACATATGCTAGAATCGCACCAACGATTCTCCACATATCCACCGCCAAATATGCTACAACACATCTGCCGCCACATATGCCAGAATCGCACCAACGATTCCCTACATATATGCCGCCAAATATGCACCAACACAGACAGAAATCGCACCAACGATTTCCTACAGACCCATCGCCACATGTTACTCATGAGGTGTGGTCTAAAGTTTTGAGTATGAGTATACAAGCATCCTTAATCAAATTTGGTCTCACTACCACTGTCATCAACTATGACATCTAACTCTCGAGGAACTTGGTGATCGGGGATCTCCCTCACATGATCATGGGAGTATTTGTGACTTTGCATACTAAACTTTGACAGATTCCAGTTAAATTTACAAAATTACTTACACTTTTGCCACAACACAATCTTTGATGAGAGGGCATTCGGCCCAGAATCATAATAAAATGGGTACGTCTCACCATTATTCATCAGCAAACCGCTGTGATTGCTCACTGAGCAAACGTCAACACGTCGCTCACTGCTTGCCTCTGCGGCAGGCATAAGGCAAGCGCACGTGGCTATTAAAACAAACCAGCACACGCCACAGTTAGCTGCCATGAAGAAAGCTCACGTGGTCAAAACAACAGCACAGGGCGTGCTGCACTTGCACAGCGAGCCGTCGCATCTCACCAGCGCCAGCGAGACGCTGCACCGTACCACGCACTCGAAGCGTTAACAGAAACAGCAGGAGCACCTGAGGGTTCACAGGCATCGTCGAGGTTGCAGTCATCGTGATCTGCGTGAAAAACAAGTTGTTAATTATCAGGACAACATACACAGTTGCCTATCCTCTCATCCATCACGCATACGAGGCCCTCAAACAGAAATACGCTCTCATACCGTGAACTATAATAAAGCACTTCGCTTTCACAAGTATGCATACATCTCCATACGAAGTATCTCTCACATACTCGTACTTGATCTTGCGAGATCCCACGTTAACCACGTGAACCACGTTAAAAACGTGAACCAGGATAGCGCCTGCCAGGACAGAGCCTGACGCATGTTTAGAGAACACAGCTTCCGCGCATACAGGGTATAACACTTCCGCGCACACATAGCGTACGACTTCTGAGGCACCGCCATGTACAGCATACGCGCGCTCCGGGATGGCGCCTGCGTATACGCGCATACGCATCTGCCGAAACCAGGCCATGTTACAGCTGGACCTGGCAGTCCGTTACAACCAGCAGGGCACACACTCACGCACTTGTAATCACATCACACGTGCTACTGTAACACATAAAAGAAAACATTAAAAATACTCAGTAGGAACATTTTTTTTTCGAAAAATGCAGCACTACTCTTGGGACACCATTCGCTTTTCCAGGGCACCATATACTGAGCTTCGGCTACACGACAACTTCTGGTACGGTCCGATACTCATGTAAACTTAAATATTCTCTTCAATGTCAGAACAAATTTGCTCTACTTAAATTTCGTCAGTTATGCTTTGGTTTTCTAGCATTTTTCGCAACCAATTAACGAGTTTAACACTAATTCTTACAAAATATTTTTTAAGGCAATGTTAAGGATAAATTTACTTTCCTCATGTATCAAATGGTGATCGGTAACAGCGGCAATTAAAGTATCCACGGCATCATAAGTCGACAGGTTACTTCCACTCAAGAGCAAGCGCCACAGCACCACGCCTTCCACTAAACCCTCAACATTAAATCCCAATTTTGTCGACTACGTAATACTCTGAGTAGACTGTAACACTTATCATCACATTAGAACACAAAAATACTACTTAGTGTTTTTAAGTCATAGCACGTTAAAGTAAACATGTTCTTTTTTCGGTACATCGTTTAAACATTTTGAATTTTAAAACTAGCCCATGTAAATCACACCTCGTGTATCAAATTATAACATAACTTGAGCAAGTTAAACTTCCACTGAATGCAAACTATAACTCATTTAGAATACCTTCAACATTTCTTTCGACTTAAGAAATAATGAAAGTACTTGCGGGTACTTTTTATCATTAATCGAACAAAAAGATTTAACTTTTGGCTTAAAACATTTCACTTTAAACTTTTACTCTACATTTTAATGATTCGTCAGTGTCGTAAATACGACAACAAACTTGATTTAAGAAATTAAACACAAAAACAAAACGCGAGGCGTATCATAGTATTTCACCAACGTAATAACCTTCACACTATTCTAAGTTTATAGGTGGGCAGTAACAGGGACTTTATCCCACTTCTGATATCGGAAATGACAACAGGAGATCCCACTTCTGATGTCGGAGAATTACAACATAGGATTCCAATTTTGACCTTTGAAATACATCAGGATAGCGTTAACTGTTAAAAATAATAAAAGTGTGAGAGCGGATATTCAACTTGCTCTCGTGCTTACGCAATTAATCATTATCGGTAATAAGACAACGTAACGCACTATACATTCAGTATAGTGAAATTACAGTTCGATCACACCGTAATACGTCTCAGCCACAATCACACACCAGTGTAACGTGAGGTGCGTAATTACATGATAACACCAAAATATGTACAGCAACAGCAACACTACTTATCTCAATGTAACACAGGGCAGCCTCTCAGCAACACCAATCCTCCTTGCCTGCACTAGAAGAATTACCACAACGAACAGAACCACGACAATATCTTAGCACTAGTCGAATGACCACATCCCGTTGAATGACTTGAGCGGAATCTCCCGCGCACGGCACCTACAGTGAACTTTATACTGCACAAACAAGTGGGAGTTTCTCGATATACCCTCCATTGCACCTCAATCCAACCAGGTATTTTATAGACACTCCGACATATATATAATTTCTGTAATTTATGTATGGTGTGCAATCATCATCATCATCATTACAGCCCTTCACAAGTCCACTGCTGAACATAGGCCTCCCCCAAAGAATGCCACAAAACACGGTCCTGAGCCACCTGCATCCATCGACTTCCTGCATGTCTTACCAGGTCGTCACTCCATCTCGTGGGGGGACGCCCTACACTTCGCCTACCGGTACGAGGCTGCCACTCGAGAACCTTTCTTCCCCATCGGTTGTCGGTTCTTCGAGCTATATGGCCGGCCCACTGCCACTTCAGCTTACTAATCCGTTGGGCTATGTCGGTCACTCTAGTTCTACTGCGGATATCCTCATTCCTAAGTTTATCACGCAGAGAAACTCCGAGCATAGCCCTCTCCATAGCTCGCTGAGCGACCTTGAGCTTCCTCATACGGCCAGCAGTGAAGAACCACGTCTCAGTTCCGTAAGTCATCACTGGTGTGCAATAAAGAATATTAAATAAATAAATAAACGTAACAACAAGAATAATAACAACAAGAATTTAATAAACAAAACGATTGAACTGTCGCTATCCCCACTACTAGTCTTCATAGGAATTTGGAAGTTATGGTTGTCATTTTTAATACAATTACACAATCAATTGTACCGTGACGCAACAAGCAGTTCGTTACTACAAAAATGATACTTATACAATGATAAATACTAGTTCTTCGTTATCTTTGATTTTGTACAAGAAAATAGAAATGAAATGTTACTGAATAATTTAATAGTTAAAATCAATTGGAATTATAATCTCTCAGAATTAATCTAAAAAATAATTATTTTACTATATTTTAATTGACTTTATCGAAATCCGTCCAATACTTTGATTTTTTTTATAGAACAAAACTGACAAACGAGCACACAGTCCACCTGATGGTAAGTGGTTGCTGTGGTCCATAGACATCTACATCTATCCTCGTTTGCGAGTCAAAATGCAGATGCGTTGTCAGCCTTGAGAACTGAGATGGAATGCCTCTTTTCCAATAAAAAGGGTCTCCGGTTCTCTACACTCACCATACGAAACACAGCAGTATTAAGCTGTTATGTTACGCTGGTATTCTGTGAGAGCGTGGTCCTTGCCCGGTCGAGCCGACCCATTCGTGCTACAACTATATTTTAAATATAGCTGCAGCTTGGCTCTACCACGTTTAAAAAGAGGTAAGTCAAAACTATTAAAAACCTCTTGCCAGTTTTATAGTGATGGTCGCCTCTAATTCGTATTGACGCTGGCAAATAATTCTTAGTAGGTAAATTTTTGTGCAATATGGCAACGTTGCCAAAACCAATTTGTCAAATTCCCCGAAAATCCATGTTAAATTACCCAATTTAAGGACAAAACTTCAACAGATTCCCCACAAATTCCCCTCAAATTTATTTTATGAAATAAAACAATTTTCAACTAATTTTATAAGATTTATTTTTTAACTGATATTTTTTTTCTTTAAAATTTAAAAATAAAGAACTGAAAAGCATTAAATGATACACAAAAGTTGCCGAAATAAATTCGAAAATTAAATTTGGTTAAGTGAAAATAATTAAAAAAAAGAGTAATGTCTATTTTAATTTTAATTAATCTCCCTTTAACTTTTAATAAAAAAATTCAAGGCATTCAATTTTATCCAATTAATCAAATATTGTTTTGATGTATAGTATCTATTATTATCTTATTAACTTGAATTGGGGCTCGTCCTGTTAAAGATATATTCATAAGTAACCTAACAAAAATGTTAAGATAAATATTTAGATTTCTCGAAAAAAGATTCTGACTTGGCCCAGGCTATCCATTTTCAACATTTACGCATTTTCCCCGCATAATACCAATTCCCAAAAAACCTCCAACCAACTTTAAATTCATGTTAGCAACGATGACAAGTGTAAATTACACATAGCAAGAGCCGACACGAGTCTGCCGGGCGGCAGCAGCGCGTGTGTGAAAGGGAAGGGTAGAGTGAGTAGTAATATGTAATGCATTGTTTTGTACCGAGCTAGATAAGAGTTCGGCGTTCGCGCGAATATTGTCCCTAGTCAGCTGATTTTAAATTAAACTGCTGGTTTTATGTTTAAGTATTTTCATGATTTTTTCATGAAATTATCGTTTCATTTAGCTGTATTAACACGAAAAGATGATTTTTTTCCCTCGGGATCGATTTTCTTTCTGACCCATCATCAAAGGTATTTGTTAGTACTATCGTCTTTGTTCGTTTTCGGGAGCGTTTCACAAACACCGAATATATATTTACTTTAACATTTATGCGTTCAATGTATTGAACAATTCCTCGTTTTGCCGGTATAGAAATGATTATCATGGACATTTAACTTTTAGAACAAGTCACACTGCTGTAGCCCAAACACATTGGCAAGAAACTTCCAAATGAAGCTATACTCACTCTATCACGGCCTAAAGTAATTTAAGAGATTGTAAAGAAACTAGAGCATATTTGTAATATAAAAATTTCAAACCATATCAAATGTTTACTTCTCAATTAGCATTTGTTTTGTAGGCTCGTCAATCTGGAAGATCATCTGCTCCGACAGTTTTGAGGGAACTGTCAATAACCTCTCAAGCAACGCAAAGGTCCTGCAACAGATCATTGTTATATTATTAATAAATAGTTAAATGCCTCGTGGATTTAGTGGTCGTAAGCGCGATTGCTGATCATGAGGTCCCGAGTTCGAATCCCAGGTCGGGCCCAAATCAGTTATTGGGTTTTTCTATCAAAAACTTCTCAGTAGCAGCCCAGAATCCGGAACACCCGTGTCTCGGAGAGCATGTAAAGCCGTTGGTCCTGTGCCTCATCTTTTTTTTTTATAGGAGAGGAGGCAAACGAGCATGCGGCTCACCTGATGGTAAGTGACTACCGCCGCCCATGAACAACCGCAACACCAGGGAGGGAATTGCAGATGCGTTGCCGACCTTTTAAAAAGGAGTAGGCTCTTTTCATGAATGTCCCTAAGTTGTATCGGTCCGGAAAAATCGCTGATGGTAATCGATTCCACAAGGAAGTCGTGCGAGGAAGAAAACATCTTCTAAATCGCACAGTGGTGGACCGCCAATCATCCAGATGGTGTGGATGGTATCGGGAGTTCTGCCGCGATGTGCGTTCGTGAAATTTGGCGGCTGGGATTAATTCGAACAATTCCTCAGAGCACTCCCCGTGGAAAGAAAATGCAAAGGGATGCAACATCTCTTCGCAGTGCCAATGAATCGAGCCGATCGGAAAGGACTCGGTCGTCGACGATTCGAGCCGCTCTGCGCTGGATGCGGTCAAGTGGAAGGAGCTGGCACTGGGGAGCCCCTGCCCAGAGATGGGAACAGTATTCCATGTAAGGCCGAACCTGCGCCTTGTAAAGTTGCAGGCGGTGTGCCGGCATGAAATACTGTCCCGCTCTGCCGAGCACGCCAAGCTTTTTAAAGGCCATGTTGTAAACCAAATATATTATAAGCACAATATTGGCGCCATCTACCCTTACCATTCGTAAAGCGCCATCTATGGTTCTCTTTCCTTTCATAAACTACTTACCTAACTGCAACAAACAGTTCACACAGAGAACCATAGGTGGCGCTACATCTGTGCTGCTTGCTTTTAGCAACCACAGTCGATAAAGCGGTCATTAAAAAATTGTCACGAAGGTGCGTGAGAGAAAATATACCAAATCAAAACGTCTCCAGTGTTTCAAATAGACCTATAGAGGCACCCGTAGACGCGCGGATGGACGTCGCTGTCTACGCGTAGCTCAAGGATGGACAGGTCCGAACCTTCAAGACTGCCGAGGCGTCGAGAACAGATGTCCGCTCTGACATACACGCAAACTCCAGCCCGAGGCACAAAGGAGTGCTCCAATTTGTACCCTGGGTAGGAGAGACGAGCCGGAGAGGACACCTGCGTCTCGGTCAGAAAGAGCAATGCCGGCTTCGCCGTCTCGAGATGGTAATTTTTAAACGTTTAGGTTCGAGTGAAGTCCCCTGATGTTGCAGAAATTCACGGATAGCGTGGCAGGGGTCGCCTTGGTATTGTTGCTCAGTTTGCCCTGAGCAGTTATGTTTTTGAGCGGAATTTTGCCCGCTCTCTCGTCATGTTGGATTTACGTCCCATAAACTATGAGAGGAATAGAGAGTGAGGGAATAGAGAGTACACCTGTATTTGCATATACACTTGGGCACTGTAATCATCTTGCACATATGGCTAGTCTCCGTTGAGACTGGCCGCCGTGACTGAAATTCGGTCTGCAGGACATTATTATTATATGATTACTATTCAGAGAGATTAATTATTATTATTCAAGAGAAACTATCACCTCATTTGGACGCTATAAGAGACAACTTGCGTTGGATATTTTATAACCAGCATAAATATGGAATGATCTAATGATTTCTTATATTTACGCGAACACTACACATTGAATAAAACTATTTTTACGGATTTTATCGCGTTTAATTTACTTATTTTAATTCCCGAAGTTTCGGGTGCTTTACAGCAACCCATGGTCACGGGGGGGACTGAGATGTTTGACGTCCCGATGTCACAGTTAGCCCAAAGCCGAAGCCGAATCAAAAATTAATATTAAAAACTGAAGGTAGCCCTTCAGTTTTTAATATTAATTTTTGATTCGATTTACGCAGAATGAGCTTACTGTATCTTGAAGTCTAGCAGTGGTATGCTTGGGTTTGGATTTAATTCTGTTAATTATAGGATCCCAAGCAGATGGCATTAAACGCGATAAAATCCGTAAAAATAGTTTTATTCAATGGAATGATCTATCAGAAGCCATAAAATATTTTAGCATATCCCATAGTCGTCCGTCTTATGCCACCACAGAACCACCACAGGACATGGCAAAAATGGTGACAGTATATGTATTTAAAGCAAATTTAATACAAAAAAATTTCTTCAAAGAATGTTACCCCCACACTAGGAATTTTTTCTGTATCACGGAGGCAGTTTACATATATAAATTGCACAAAGACATCCAGACCCGGATTAATTATTTGTAGATCATACAAATACTTGTTCCATACGGAATTCAAACCTGCGGCCCTCAGCACTGCAACATAATGCTAAGTCACGGCGACAAGAAGCGGTCGATGAAAATGTTAAAGAAATTAAAGTTATTCTTTCTTAAAAGGCTAGACAATACATAAAGTAAAAGTAAAAAAAAAAAACAAAGTATCACTCACAAGATGAGGTAACAGGGTCTCTCGGTCAGTAATATCTAACAACTTAAAATATACACACTGTACCTATAGTGGTCCAAAACATCACTAGCTATGAGGTCCACTGTTGCTCCTGTTTGTTTCTCCACTGCTCGTTTATGTAAAGTAGACACAGCCTCACTAGCTACACAACAAAAAGCCAGATATATTGATTAATTTATGACAGTGAGATCGACATAAAAGCCCAACTAAAGCTAAGCTTTTTCAAATTGAAATTGAAACCTAAACAAGGATCCAGAAATATGAAAAGATTTTTCTGTGGAAATTTGGACTCACTACAAATCACTATCATATAATTAAGTGGATGCATGCATAAAATTCCAATATTCATGATAAAATTACATTTTTTCACTACTGATCTTTAGAAATTCTTAAGAACTCTCAGAATTAAAAATCAAATCCTATGGAATATTGGTCTGCTCTCCATTTGGATGGCATTAATCATCATTTTATTTATATTACTTCATTAGAGCCTGAAGTCCATTTTCAAACTATTATGTCTACAAAATCAATGCAGCTCCTCTAGATCCCCTACTTTCATTTTGTTCTCCATTACAAAAGATCAAATAAAACAAAAAACGGACAAGAGTGAGTAGGTCTCACACTCCGAGGGTCCCAAATAAACTTAATTATCTATGTAGATAGTCCATCCATCCAGGACTTGAGAAATGATGTTGCCTGTTTTCAATACACAAATGAAAATTACCATACCATGGACCGTGTAACAGCGGTATAAAAATATTCTCTAACCAACATCATCCCGAGGGTGTCGTAAGGTGACAGAGGAAAACAAATCAGGAAGATAGGCTGCAGCGTCTTCCTAATAACTACTAAAAATAAAAAACTGCAGTTGCCAACCCACTTGCCAAGCGTGCTAACTTTGTTATTAATTTTCATCTTTGTTGTTATTTTTAAAACTATTACAAACTATGCATATATACGGATATTGCCTCATAGGGTATGAAGCAATCTTTGGGGGGCCTATGTTCAGCAGTGGACTTTAATAGGCTATAACAGTAAATGAAAATTAACAAAGATATTTAATATTTCCTTTAATATACAATAGATACATAATATAACAGTGTAAATAGATAAGTATTTAGTTTCACTAAAATAATTTTCTCACTCTGGCTCATTTTTTTTATAGAATAAGGGTGACAAACAAGCACACAAATCACCTGATGGTAAGTGGATGATGTGGCGCATAGACATCTACATACATCCTCGATTAAAAATCAAAATGCAGATGTGTTGCCACCCCTGAGGACTAAGATGGAATGCCTCGTTTTCCAGTAAAAAGGATCACCGGTTCCTTACACTCACTATAAGAAATGCAGCAGCACTGAGCTGCTATTTTATGTTGGTATTCTGTGAGATTGTGGTCCTTCCCCGATAGAGTCGACCTATTTGTGCTAAAATCATAATATAGCTGCAGCATGAATCTACCACGTAAAAATACATATGTTAAAGGTAAGGTAAGCATCAACACTTCAACACAGCGCTTCAACACTTCCCTCACCAATGGAAGATTGCGTATGTTAAGATCATCCCGAAGCCGGGTAAGTCTGACTACAGCGCATTAGAATCCTTCCGTCCGATAGGATTGATACCTGTGTTTGGCAAGCTGCTGGAAAAACTCTTCATCAGGAGAGTCACATATCATGCGCAGAAAGACAAAGTTTTAAATAAATTTAAGTTCGATTTCCGGGAGCAGAACAACACGGGTGTAGCCATAAACACCGCGCTTAAAATAATAAGACAAGCAAAAACAGAAACAGTTAAGTATCGCCGTATCTCTTGATATCAAAGCGGCCTTTGACAACGCTTGGTGGCCTGCGCTCTTCCATCGATTGCGGCATATCCAATGTCCTAATAATATCTTTGCACTCATTCACGATTATGTTCACGATCGGGAGGTCATTCTCGACTATGCGGGGAGGCGGGTCACTAAAACGATGTCCAAGGGTTATACAAGGCTCCACGTGTGGCCCTGTTCTGTGGAACATTATATTGGACGAATTGCTTGACACAAGACTTCCAGCGGGTTGCCACACACAGACCTTTGCGGACGATGTCCTGCTGGTTGTTAAAGCCGGAGTATCGGCAAGCTGGAGAGCGCTGCCAACTTCGCTCTCCACCAAACAGTCGAGTGGGGAAGGAACGTCAAGTTGACGTTTGGCCCCACCAAGACTAAGCTCATTGCCTTCACTCCTAAGCCAACATCAACATCGATGGACACCGATTTTCCTTTGTTCCAGAGGTGAAACTTTTGGGAGTAAATCTGGACTAAAAATTTAATTTCGGAACACATGTAAAACATTTCATCAACAAGGCCGTGCGGATCTTTAACACGCTCTGCATTTACTCGAGACCCACTTGGGGAGCCCATTCAGAGAACATCAGCACCATTTACCAGTAGGTGATCGTGCCGACGATTACCTACGCTGTGGGGATTTGGGGACACGTTGCCCAGAAAAGGAACATCAGGAGGGCACTCGAGAGCATGCAGCGCGGGTTTACGATTAAGGCTATTAGGTGGTTTCGCACGGTCTCCACATCTGCGACACTTGCATTGGCTCAGTTCACACCTCTAGACTAGTAGTAGTAGTACGGGAAGTTTGCGCTGTGGAAAGGGCTCGGCTTCTTGGAATCTCTGACCACATCCCCAGCCATTGGAAAAACCCACTTCCGTCTCCGAAATATTCCATCCCGCTCTACGTATCTCCTTAACGAACAAGACTTTTACAAATCACTCATTGACTCAACTTATACACGGTAGTAAACAGGTGAACGGTGCAGTGGGTGCTGCCTTTGTGTGTTATATTCCCACGAACTTTGAACAAGCGGCTTTCACCAAAAAATTCAAATTACATAACAACACATGTAGCGTGTTTCAAGCAGAATTGTTTGCCATTTTGCAGGCATGCATCATGTAACACAGGTGGATCAAGTAACATAGATACACACACACACACACAATCATCTACACAGACTCACTCTCATCCATACAGGCAATACAATAGAGAAGTAACACACACACCCACCCCATCATCACACAAATACACCAAATCATACATAGAGAAACAGGCACTATAGAGTTGGGATGGGTCAAGTCACTCAAGCATAGCTGACAACGAGGCAGCGGACAAGGCTGCGTATGCCGGCTCCAAGTTGGACAAACAACCTGACTACTTGGCCTTTCCCATCTCATACCTCAAACACAATATCGGAACACACAACCGTGCAACCTGGCAAGCAAGGTATTATAGCGCAGAACAGGGCCAACATACAAAAAGGCTGCTTCCAACACTGGAGGATATCGAGAGGCTAAGCGGTCTCACGAAACCCTGTTTTTATTTGACGCAGGTCCTCACCAACCACCGTTACAACAAGTCATACCTTCACCGTTGCCGATGCCATTGCCAAACTCCGCCATTGCCGGTCCCAAGCCCGGATGAGAAAGAAGGAGGGAACGGTTCCGCCGGAGAGAGTGAGTGTATCCGGCAGACTAACACACCCACCTGCGCTAGGATCTGCGCAGTCGAGCGCCGTACGCGGGGATGAAGGAGTCCTGCGAGTTGAGCCGATCGTCGCTAGGGTATATAGTAGCGAGAGGCAACACGCCCTTTTTGGTCCGGATTTCAATCTAAACGGTGGCCCTATCCGCTAGCCACAGATAGGGAAATAGCCAAGCGCCCCGTCAGGGGTTCGCAGGCGAGGGATGTGGGCGCTGCCTAGTTTTCCTGAAAAGGGGCTGGGTGGTGGTAAAGGCCATACTGACGGAGCAAGTGACAGTTTATTCGGGTAGTGGGAATGGGCCTTGTCAGCCCCATCTACCAGCTGGATCGAGCTCCCGATGTCGCGCTGTGAGCCAACTTCGCGTCCCTATATACTCCCGGTAATCCTAACGTCTAAAATTCTTTTTTAAAGTAGGGAGTTCCCAACGGTGCGTGCTCCATGAAGGGTGGGAAGCCGGGGGGACGAATTTTAAACACAAAACTAATGGACTATTTAAGGCCCAGTAAGAAAGAGGAAGAGGTGTCAGAGGTGCTTGACAGAGACACGAAAGAACAAGGGGGAACCGCCATTAAACCGACGGTTCCACGGACATACATATCCATGCAATCGTAGCAGTCAATTTGATGAGTGTGACTATTCCTTTTTGTCGTGGGTACATTCTATAAAGTACCTTAGAAATTGATGATAAAATAAATTGGAACTCTAAGAACAGTTGTTGACTATAAATTAGCATTACAAACATATAAAGCCTTTGGTGAATGCATTATTAGATACTGTATCTGTGCATGAGATACAGCAGCAAAATCATATTTGATCACTGTAGAACGTGCAAAACGTGCAGTACTGAAAGTGTTATTCTCCTTACCCTACAGGCACCCTACAACAGACGTCTATGATAAAGCCAACGTTCTTAGTGTTAGAAAATTATTTGTTTATGAAAGTTTACGAAATTACCAAAAAAAAAAATTGTTCCTTTCCTGACTAAATCATCTGCAAGGCTTGACCGTTGTCCTATTCCCAAAGTAAAAACAAGATTCGCCCAGAAGCAGTTTGATGTTATTGTTCCACATATATATGACAGACTTAATAAGAAATATAATATAAAAGACTGCAATAATAACGTTAGTAAGAAGCACCATCCAGCGTAGGTGGCCCCACCAAGGGGACAACTTCCACGCTGGACGTTTTCAAAACCGTTTCAAACCTGAGGAGCTGGACGAGAAAAAGGAGCAAGAGCCCGCGAGTAACAAAACTCCTACGGAGCCACAGAGAACGGACGACCTTTTCTCTGCTGCCTGGCAAGTGGTGAGCCGTAAGGGGAAAGGCAAGGCTCCCAAAAAGGTGACTTGCCGACCTGACAAACCATCAGGAAGATCTATCCCTGCAGGCAGTAGTGGAAAGGCCAAAAAGAAGAATAAGAAGCAGCGGGAAAAAGGCCGAAGAGAATGAGCCGCGCTGGCTGCTTCTAAAACTAAAACCATGGAGGCTGGGTAAGCTACTGCGACTGGGATGCTTGCGGCTGGAACCAGTAGCCGCGCTGAAGCTGGGAAGGATAAAAATCCAGCCAAGTGGAAGTAGCGGCCGCGGGAACCAGCTCTGAGATATCCGCCAGAAAGCAGCAAGCGGCCAAGCATCCTGGGAAGAAGGAAAGAGCAGCCAATATGATGCTGGAAGAGTCCACCTCACCGAGAGGTGAGCACAAAAAAGTGCGATTAGAACAGCAACCAAAGGCTGCAAGAACAAGCTACGCTACCGCTGCTAAAGCAGATTTGCGTGTGGCCTTCACGTGTGCGCGTTTAGGTCACATAACGAAGGAAGTAGCTGACGATATCCTCGTGACAATAAAGAGGAAGATGATCAGTGAGGCCTGGAGTAGTCAGGACCCTGATGCGTCGGACCCAGTTCTTAGATGCAAACCCGTTTACACGGAGGGTGTCCTGAAGCTATGGTGCGACGATCAGAAAGCTCTGGATTGGTTAAAGGGGAATATTGCTACACTTGACCTTGAATCCAACACCTCGCTGGCCATAAAGAAACAGTCGGAGATATCACAAGGAGTCAAATGTGGTATCCTTATCCCTAATGCCCAGGGAGCCTGGAAAGACTCACGCGACATTGATCGTGTGCTGGCGAATATACACAGAAGAGAAGATTAGTCGGCGCCTCGATCTGCACGCCGGAGGAATACACTCCTCCCACTCATTACCTCGTGAGGCTGGTGAACTTCTGCCAAAGGACCGGACTAGAGGCTGTGATCGGGACGGACTCCAACGCGCATCATCCCCTGGGGAATGGAAAGGCCGAATGAACGAGGTAAGGTGTTAGTTGAATATCTATTTAGCGCTAACCTAACCATTTTAAACACGGGTTCTAAACCAACTTTCATAAACAAACGCTGTCGCACAATAATCGACCTCACACTTGCAACAGAAGGAGCAGCTAAACTAATTACGGGATGGCATGTGTCGAGAGAGGCCTCATACTCAGATCATTGATGGATCTGCTTTACACTACAGGTCGATATCCCCGCTACACCACCATGGAAAAATCCCCGCAAGACGGATAAAACAAAATACCTTAATAGGCTGACGTCTTCGCTCGCGGGTTTTGAGGGGACAAATACTATAGCAGATCAGTCGCTCCTAGAAGAACAAGTAGCAGCTGTTACTAAGGCCATGATAGATAGCTACCATGAATCATGTCCAGAAATCACTCTATCAAGGCATGCTGAGGTAAAGCAACCGTGGTGGGGTAAAGAACTAGATATAAATAGTAAGAAGGTAAGAAAAGCCCTAAATATGGCCATGAATACCTCAATGGATGAAGACTGGCTGGACTATACAAGTAAGCTAAGTCCGAATACAAAAATGTATCAGATATCGAAGCTCGACAGGGTGGCGTAAATTCTGTGGCAACATAGAAACCTGCGAAAAAGCGAATAGGATAAGGAATATTCTAGCTAAACAGAACACGTCGGGATCCATCTCTCTAAAGAAACCCAACAGTAGCTACTCAACATCGCCAGATGAGGCTCAACGCATCCTAATTGAAAAGCACTTCCCAGGTTGCTGCGTAACTCAGTAGGCAAACCGGCATGACGATATACTGACACCAACAGCAGAAGACTGGAGTTTAGCACAGAGAGTGATAACGATGGACAAAATCCATTGGGGCATTCACAGTTTCCTCCCCTATATAGCGGCAGGACCTGACGGCATATTCCCGGCACTCCTCAGATCAGGATAGTAACAAGTGCTATCACAGGACACGGCACCTTTAACAAACATTTATTTACTATAGGTGTTACAGATAGTCCCCTGTGCAGGGCAAGTATGGGGGAGGAAGAAACGGCGGCCCACATGCTACTGAAATGTCCGGAGGTCGCTACGTACAGGGCTAAACACCTCGGCACGCCGAGATCACTCCCCGAAATTGTATGCAACATCAAAGGACTGTTGAGCTTCTTCCAGGTGATCTCATGGCTCGAATAATCACATTAATCCTGGCCCACACCCAAAATACACAGATAGACGTGGAGTTGTGGAAAACAGCCCCTCGTAAACTAAACTAAACTATCTAAACTACCTTCACCATTTCAAAATTACAAACAATAATCATTGCCTGTGTTACAATACCACTTCACAGACGCTGGAACACCTTATCGAGCATTGCCCTGCATTTTCTGTACCATGGTTAAACCATATAACTCTGTGCAAAAACTTAAGAACCCGTCCATTAGAACAAATAGATTTAATGAAGAAGGATTCCTTTTTGGACTCCTTCTTTCAATTTGTCAACAAAATTATTAAAAGCGTCAAACTCTTTAACAGTAATAGCACACCTGTATATAGTAATAGTTAATTATTAAGAGAGAGAACACCTCTTGTGTTTTTTTTATATCTTTACTTTATTCTATTGTCTTCATACCTATCATTTGATTGTGTCTAGTAATAAGATTACAAATTGTTTCATCTATCATCTCGTCTGTTTTCTTTGTTTACTGTGATTTAATGAAGCAGTCTTGTTTATGTGCTAAATTAAGGATCTTCCTTCAATCTCTGTTCTCATTTTTTTTTCTCTTTTACACCAATTTGTTTGTATTTGTGAACTAATATTACATTTGTGTTTTCAATATTTCCACTTTGTTGTCAATAAATTATTTTGTCTTAATTTAGAAATAAGATTATCCTATGTTTTACTTTATATCGTTTTCTGTATTTTGAGGTCATTTTACCATTTTGTTGAGTTTTATATTCCACTTGTTTATATTTCCTTAAAGTTTTAAAGTTATTCTACCATTATGTCTTAAATTAGAATTAAGATAACATTTTATTATCTTCTATTTAAATTTTGTTTTGTTTTTAATGTTTAATTCATATTGCAATTATTAAAAAAAAAAAATTTTATTATGTCAAGCAGTAAGCGTGATACTACAGAAACAAGATACTTTTGTAAATTAACCATAATTTTATTAATTCCGAACTATATACATTGTAATAAATTAACAAACCATACTAACATATGGAAAGGCTATGTATCAAAAATACTATGTATCAAATGGCAGACTTATGTAGCCTTCTCTATGTGCGTATTATAAAAATAAGCAAAATCATATCTAAAATGAATAATATTGTGAAGATTGACAATATACTCCTGTCGATTGGGGTGTACCTTCTGGTGGAAACCATAAAAAAGGTAAGCATCAGAAATGGCTCTTACACATCATAGGTAGGTCATTGAGGAACAAACTTAAAAGTGGCAGTGGAAAAATATTCTACCATACATCGATCTACATCACAATTAATAGTCTGTGTCTATAAGTTAATAATTGCAAAAAAAATTGTGATTTAAACATTTTTCAGATATTTACAATAACGAGCTATGAGATCTTGCTTCTTGTCAAATTTTGTGATTCAAGTCAATGGGAAGTACCCAACAGATATCACAAACAGATATTTGCACTCACACTCTGATATATATTTTCAATTACATATATTGGCCATATCTTTAAATTGTGCCATAAAACCTTTTATAAGTTCCTAAGAAAAAAATCTTGACAGACGGATAGACAGAACAAAGTGTTCCTATAAAAGTTCCATTTATTCTTTTGAGGTACTGAGTCTAATAAGCTTTCCTAACCAATAAATCCAACACTATGGGTAGTGATGAAGAGAGCTTGAGTGCCTACTTCCAGTCACTCTATATTATATACACACTATATATATATATATAAATTTTAACAGTGGTAGAGCCACGCGGCAGCTTTTGCTGTCGCACGGATGGGCCGGCTCGAACCGGGGTGGTACGACCTCACAGAAATCCAGCGTGAAGTAGAGGTTTACCTCTGCATTTCGCTTGGTGAGTGCAGGTGGCCGGAGGCCCTTTTTACTGGAAATGAGGCATTCCATCTTAGTCCTCACGGGTGACAACGCATCTACATTTTGATTTGTAACAGAGGATAGATGTAGATGTCTATGGGCCGCAGCAACCACTTACCATCAGGTGGACTGTGTACTCGTTTGTCACCCTTATTCTATAAAAAAAAAACACTACTTATAATTCTCAATACTTGGTTTAACCTAAATTATATTGCTTAAATACTATAAATAATAATATTATACTTTTATTTCATAACATAATATACAATATTTTATTATAAACAATATTAAAAACTATTATAAAAAAGACTAAAACTAGTAAATTAATTATCATACAGTCCTGCTCCCCAGGGTATCATGCCAAGAACGCTGGCTGCATTTACCCGCTGAATGGCTATACTAAGCCTTTGAGAGAGAAAAGAACCAGCCCTCTTATTACCAGCAGCAATTACCAGTCGTGGATGGAGTTCCTTTAGGAACTTCACCGCGAATGGACCCCACGGACCGATAGTCTCTACAGCAAATGGCACAAATATGTAGTCATCTCTCAGAGACTATATTTGCGCCACTTACTCAGTTCAACTGCCTCTGATGCCACCCCAGCTCTTAACGAGGTACCCCTGAGATGAGAGACCGCCAGTGTCTACGCTAGTAACATCCCACACTATGGCTTTACCTCTGTCCCATGGGACCAATGTCATACCGTCAGGTCTCTTATCATCGTCTCTAAATATTCCACAAGGCTCTAAAACCGAGTGAAATTTATTCTAAAACTATATAATATTGTCTATATTTAATTTGTAGTATAATGTTATTAGTGAAAATAGTAATAAAACAAATAGAAAATCAAGGTACTTATTCTTTTTTTTTTCTTTCCAATAATAATTATATGTTTTGAAGACTTTAACATGAATACCTACTAAGGTTTTTTATACTTTGTCTAGGTCTACGGCGATATAAAAACTGTTAAGTATGCATAAATACTTACAGGAGCATCCCTCTATCCATAACTGGTATATTTCAGGATCGATAAGAGTAAAATTACTGACGAATACATCAACTTCTGTATGCATATTACAAAAATATTATGGTCTTTTTATTTATTTATGTATATTCTAATATCTTGGTAGTTTGACTGTGACAGGTGGTGACAGCAGTGTTGCCAACTGCTAGCTTTACCCAGTTGCTAAATTTTTTTTTTGGAGTTTATGGCCTGGTATCTAGATCTTTAGGCCAAGTCTTAAGTATTTTTATTCGGTTTATTGTAATTTCCCCACTCCTTCATAGTATACTGCTTCACAATATGTTGATGCGTCACATTGTGCAGTTCTTGGGAGATTTTGGCGGCAACTTAATCCAGCAGACAGCTGATAGTTGGCGATGATATCTAAAGGTGCCTATGCAAACAAACAGCTTATCTTGAGAATCCATCACCATCAGAGCACTTGTTTCACTGTTTCCACTAATAGTTCACATGCGTAGACACTTAATACACAAAATCACTTAAAACACTTTTACATATCAAAGTCCACTTCAAACCATTATTTAAACAATAATACAGGAGCAGCAAACCGCCGCCGGTCAATTTCCCGCCAAAACTCTACCCAGTTGCTAAACATTTTTCAAAATGTTGCTAGATTGCTAGCTTCTTTTACCCCAAAAAGTTGCTGGAAGTAGCTAAAGGTTACAGTACGTAGGTAGATTACAATAAAGTGTCAATTTCTGACAATCATTTTTAATTTCCAACAAGAGAGAAATGTCTTGTGTACAGTCACGAGCAATAATAGGTAAACAACATAGGACTATATTATTATATTATATTTACTGTCGACTTTTGTGGGACAAATAGTTTTGTTTCGGAACGCTTAACGTGACAAAGTTCTATGTTGTTTACATATTATTGCTCGTGACTGTACGTTATTAAATAAAAAAAATAAGTTTAAAATTAATCAATCAAAGAAGATGTCGATATTTGGGGTTCAGTGTCTTTCGTCGTTAATTCCGAATATTTTTCAGCGGTGCCCATTTTATACAGTACATCTTTAGACAAAACACGGTTATAGCAGCATTTACCACTTTTCCTGAGAGAGTCGCTAATGCAGAGGATTGAGTTCAAAGTATATTTCTGTGCGTACGCTTTTTTTTTCGAAGATAAATCCATTTTAAAATAAAATTAGTTTATATGGATAAAACAAAACAACACAAGGTGGAATACGAGTAGCGTGTACTATTTTGGTTAGTGGTAGGTTAGTGAATAATCTGTCATAACGCAGCAGGAAACGGGGAATTCCTAAACCTACCATAACATCTATGACCATAGATTCACGTTTAGTTTTTATTTTTTCTTTCGAGACTCGGTACGAACCTGAAGACAATTTAGAGCAGTGATAATTCAGAATTCATTTGAGATTCTATGGTGTGTAAAATCTTCAATACAATAACCTTGAGACCAATTCATATTGCCTTATTTTTAAATAAAAATAGGTCAACCCGAAAGTAATCGCTGCCCCAAGCTCGTCATCCGTCATGTTTGCCTATCCGGAATATACTAGCACATTCGCCGAGCGTGTGGATGCCGTGTTTGTGTTGGGTGAATGTGGTCGGTGTTTGTTCGTGTATGGAGTATGTGGCAAACACTAAGCGTGTGGAGGTGGCATACATGATTGTAAGCAGTGACGTAGCTAGAGTGGGCGAAGTGGGTCCTCGCCCACGGCCTCGCACTTAAAGGGGCCTCGCGAGGCCCCCAAAAATGCGATGCTCTATACCATAGGTGACCAATTAATTTGATCACTTTTACACTCGAAAAAGAAAGTCACTAATTTAAGTGTGTTTATTTGGGGCGTCGCAAAAAGCCCCTCTTAAGTGCGACTAAGAGGCCGTTGTAACTACCTTCAATGACCGCAACTGTTACATTGAGGGAATACGAGACTTGTCAGGAATTAATAGACTATGAGTAAGTCGTGTCAAAGCATGTTTGGTAGGATAGATTTATTGGGTAGATCCTTGGAACGAAGAAAAGGGGCCTCGCTGATGCAACTTCGCCCACGTTTATGTTAGTCCATGCTACGCCTCTGACTGTAAGATGTTATTTAAAAAAGATCCTGCTGGGTCTCTTGCTGGCTCTTCCAAGGATAGAGCTATTTTTTTTCGAACCAGTGGTAACTAAAAGGAAGAGTGACTTTCAATAAGTATTATTTATAATCTATATTGAATAAAAAGTTTCTGCCTTTGTTTCTGTATGATTATGAATAATACACGAGTCACGAACTCTTCTGAACGACGCACGATAATCCACGAAAACTGAGTTTCGGCGCCGCCGAAGGTTCGGCAGATTTTTTGCCGAAACCGAAACTATTACCGAAACTAGATTTTTTTGCGGAAACTTGCCGAAACCGAAACCGGAACTGAATCTTCGGTCGGTGACTAAAAATAAGTTTCAATATGTAATTTAATTAATAAGTGTTTATGGTTGGATGTGTTATAGCTTTTCCCAAAATGCACCTTTATGTTACTGTTACAGCTTATTAAAGTCCATTGATGAACATACGCCTCCCTCTTAGATTGCCTCATAGGGGATTATTTGCCATAGTTACTACGCTTGGCAATCGTGTTGACAACCGCAGTTTTTGTTTAGTCGTTATTCGGAAGTCGCTGCTGCCCATCTTTCGATTTGTTTCACTCTGTCGTCTCTTACGACACCCACGGGATGATATGGATATAGTGGATATTCTTACAACCCCACTATGCAGTGTGTACCTCTATGAAAAAAACTAAGTCGACTATTTTCTTTTAGGAACCAATTCTTCTCTATTTATTATTTTTCCACCTACACACCTACTCCTAAGGCGTAGTCCCAAATTCATGGAAGACAGCTTTTGTTCACCCGATCCTTAAAAAAGGCGACCGCTCAGACCCGTTCAACTATAGGCCTATCGCCATCAACTCCTTGTTCTCCAAAATAATGGAATCCATTATAAACTGCCAGCTCATGAGGTACCTTGAGGATTACCAGCTGATTAGTGACCGCCAGTACGGTTTTCGTCGAGGTCGATCAGCTGGTGATCTTCTAGTCTATCTGACTCATAGATGGGCGGAGGCAGTAGAGTCCAAGGGGGAGGCATTGGCCGTTAGTTTGGACATAGCGAAGGCCTTCGATCGGGTCTGGCACAAAGCGCTTCTTTCGAAGCTTCCTTCCTATGGGCTTCCCGAGAAATTGTGCAAATGGATCACCAGTTTCCTTGCTGATCGGAGCATCAAGGTCGTAGTAGACGGTGCATGCTCTGATTTCAAGCCTATCAACGCTGGTGTTCCACAAGGCTGCGTGCTATCACCAACGCTGTTTCTCCTGCATATCAATGATACGTTGCTAACTGGTAGCATTCATTGCTATGCGGATGACAGCACTGGTGATGCCTTATATACCGGCCGTGCCAATATTTCTCGGGAAAGCGTCGCTGAGTACCGGGACAAACTTGTGTCTAAAGTCGAGTCTTTGCTTAACAAAGTCTCGGATTGGGGCCGACTAAATCTAGTCAAGTTCAATCCCCAGAAGACACAAGTTTGCGCGTTTACCGCTAAAAAGAACCCCTTTGTCGTATCTCCTCAGTTTCAAGGCACTCCCCTTGCTGCCTCAGCTAGTATCGGAATTCTTGGCGTCGACATATCGAATAGTGTGCAGTTTCGTGGTCACTTGGAAGGGAAGGCCAAATTGGCCTCTAAAAAGCTTGGCGTGCTCAGCAGAGGGAGACAGTACTTCATGCCGGCACATCGCTTGCAACTTTACAAAGCGCAAGTTCGGCCCCACATGGAATACTGTTCTCATCTCTGGGCCGGGGCGCCCCAGTGCAAGCTCCTTCCACTTGACCGCATCCAGCGCAGAGGGGTTCGAATCGTCGACGACCGAGTTCTTTCTGATCGGCTCGATACACTGGCACTGCGTAGAGATGTTGCATCTCTTTGCGTATTTTATCGCATTTATGGGGAGTGCTCTGAGGAATTGTTCGGACTAATTCCAGCCGCTCAATTTCACCATCGCACATCGCGACAAAACTCGCGTTACCATCCATACCATCTGGATGATTGGCGGTCCACCACTGTGCGATTTAGAAGAAGTTTTCTCCCTCGCACAACTTCCTTGTGGAATCAATTACCACCAGCGAATTTTCCGGATCGATACGACTTAGGAACCTTCAAGAAAAGAGCTTACACCTTTCTAAAAGGCCGGCAACGCATCTGCAATTCCCCTGGTGTTGCGGTTGTTCATGGGCGGCGGTAGTCACTTACGATCAGGTGAGCCGCATGCTCGTTTGCCCCCTCTTCTATAAAGAAAAAACGTCAGATTACATTTACACACTTTCTCACACCACTTACACCCACCTACTTACCCCCTGACGGTACCTTGTGGTCGATCCTACCTCCGGAACTCGGTAAGTTTGTGTTTGCTTATCAGCCATTACATAATAATTATCCATAGGCCATTTGGGCCCGAACCCTCTGGTTGCCCGTCGAGTGGGCTACTCATGGGCCCTAGTCCAGTCGACTTCTGTCGGGGCAACTGAGGGCCGTAACTGTTTCTGGTAGCAGAGCGTGGTTGATTGTTTCTACAATCACGCCCGGCCGTAATATAAAAAGAAATATTTTTTTTGTTTTTGTTTTTTTTTTTGTTTTGTTAGCGGATCGGTGGTTAGAACCACGCCCGTTAGACTGTGCAAGTAGGAGTGTAGTTTATAGTTAGGTACCTACGCGTCAGGTATTTCGGGTAGGTAGATTAAATTGCGGAAGGGTCGGTCGCCTGAGCGAGGCATCTTTGCTGGCCGACTGTAGTGTGTACTTGCCGTGTAGTGTAATTTGTATTTAATTTAATTTAATAGTAATTTGTATTTGGTAGTGATGCCATCGCAGAGGCCACCTGCGCTTCGCCTGCAGGCGGAGCTGCGCTGGGCCGCGAATGCCTTTACTATGATAGGGCGACCCGATCGGGTCCATAGTTTAGAGAAGCGGCTCGAGCAGGTCACGGCCCGAAGGGCCGTAGTGGAGAAGGCTTACACTGAGCTCGTGGCCTCGGATGCGGAAC